ATTTAACTTGATTTGCCCGCTCGGGGGTTGGAGCGCGTACTTGTCCCATTCATCGGCTAGGAAGGCGGACACCAGTTCGGGAAACGCGTATCCAATCGAGCCCGTGTGGCCGGGCATGTCGATTTCTAGGAATACTGAAACACCCCGTTCGAGGCCATAAATTTGGATATCCGACAGCTGGGAAGACGTCAATATTAGACTGGGATGGTAGGCCCCCTTGGCCGCTAATTCAGGTATGGAGGGGATATCCAACGGCCATGATTGGGAATCCGTTGCGTGGATGTGAAGACGGTTCATCTTTGCAGAAGCCATGGTATCAATTGTTCGTTTAATATCCTCTGGCGTGTACGCGTTTCTAGATATATCAAGGTTCAAGCCACGGTGACTCCATTTAGGGGCGTCCGATATGGAAATGGGTGCGTACGGGGTATATACCCCCGGCCCCGAAGAATGTGCATAGAACAGCTGGCTAAAGGTTTGGAATGCACGGATAGTTCCGATGGCGGATTTTGTCGAAATAGTTGCTTCGCCAGTGGCAGATATTTCAATCTTGTAGCTTTCGTCTTCATGTATGTAGTCTCGCGTTTCCGCCCCTGGCTTGCTTTCAGAGCCTTGGTTGATGACTACTTGGCGGATAACTGCATGTTGTCCATCCAAGGCAGGTTCAAAGGTGCTATTCCGTGGATGGAATTTCCAAGGTACGAATTTGGTGCGGTATATTTCTTTCCCAGCGCGTTTAATAGCCTTCCGGACTACTTTAGCAACACTTGGAACAGGTATGCCTGTAGCCTTAGGTTTTCTCAACCAGGGTGTCTGGAAGAAGTCTAGGACTTCCGCCAAGTCCACATATGTAGAGAAATAATCCACATCTCCAGGGGCGTTGCCTGCACAATTAGGCTGGTAGGAGAATTCCGCAGAAGAGGCGAGCCACAAGGTTGTGTTGCCATGCTTGAACTCCTGCGGCTGAGGCCAGAGCGCCAGAGAAAAGGGAACGACAGTGAGTAAGGTCACAAAAGAGAGCAGCATTGTGAGATAAACGGCGACGCTGGAGTGGAGAATGTCTGGCAGTACAAAGGGAGAAGAAGAAATGAATGAGGATCACAGCTGGTAGTACTTGAAAAGAACGACGCGGAAGAGTCAACAAAGATTACGTTTATTTCTCTTCAAACGGGCGATCAGCTTAATTCTTGTCAGAAGTAGCTGCAGTCTCACTTATGGAAGTGTCCTGAAGAGGAGAATCCTCAGTGAATATCACACTTCGTTCGCCAATTCTCGTCGTACTGGCAACACTTACGAGGAAAAGGAAGGGTGAAACACATGCTGTATAGCAAGCGGGAAATTCAAGCTGGACAATAGGATACTTTGCTGATGCATCTCCCCAATTAATGTAGGATCCTTAAGTAGCTACATATGCATGCCACTTGGGTGGAACCGGTGGGAGGGAACTTATGGAGCCATCACAATGAAACACTGCATTACATCTTAGAGTTCCTTTACAAATGAATGAAATAATGAAGACACATAATCTGAACCAAAGCTAGTGATTGAAGATACAAAGATGTACCTAGCATTGGAACTGTTTTGAAACTTGAGTCTTACAAAAAACCTTCCAACAAGGAAATTGGAACTTCTGATTACCTGTCTAAAACCACTCCCACTAATACCTTTGCTGGGTTAAGTTAGGGGTTAGAATAACCTTGAAAGGGCCTGGGAGGAACCCTGGAGCTTGAATTGACAAAGACGGAATCCGAACTAGCGTGATTAATTTTAAATGGGATCAATCGTGGTCGTGCCTGACTCAACTCTGACTCAGCATCCTGGATGACGTTTGTGGCTTCTTTGTGCTGCCGTAACATGTCCCAATCGGGCAAGTCTCGACTTCACTGCGAACTTTCACCGTAAGCTTTTATTCAACGACGCCATGTTGAGCAGTAATAAGTTCACCATCCTCAATATTCATCGTTTGCTGCGGACCCTCCTACTCCGGACGCTCTCGATGCTGCAAACCTCTCTGCGCCTATTACATACCAAATAGAGATATTGCCCCCCGTCATTTACTTTACCCCCGTGCTTCTCCACCATTCTTCTATTTCACAAGGCCTCTATCCCGTCCACCCTTGCCACATCTCTTAGCTACCGGGTACTATCTCCACACGAACGCGCGCTCCGCGACCATGTCGGTTTCCATCAAGCTCGGAACTCCCCTTGCAGAGGCCCTTAACGAGGCCGTGCAACCGAAGCTAGTGGAGGTGGGTTGGAGCACCGGCGGGGGCGACGACTCCGCGCTCGCAGAATACGTCATCCTGATGCTTGTAAACGGGAAAACTCAGGATCAAATTGCTGCAGAGCTTGCAAACGACCTCCTAAGCCTAGGCCCGGAAGATACGGAAGCGGTTGATTTTGCGAAATGGCTATTTGAACAGGTCCATGAACTAAACAACAAGATAAATGGGGCCCCGGAGAAGACAGCGCAACAGGCCCAGTCGCAAGCTATTCCTTCCATTTCAGAGCAGCAGGACAGCTCATCCTTACCAACCGGAATGGGAGATATGGGAGATTCTGAAATGGGCGGAGATGTCACCAACGCGGTGCAGGATGGTAATATGTACGATGCCGCTTCCTACCTCTCCTTTTGTTAATTTTCATCTGTAGCTAATTAATTTTGAACTTGGACAGTCCCACTGGTCCCAAAGCTGCCCGAAACCTCCGACACCAGCAGCAAGGCGGACGAGGCCGGATGATGGGGCAAATAAATAAAGCTATGGACCGACCGAATGAGTCAGTTCTGCACAGGGTACGCAATCACCAAGGTTCAGAAAGAATCAACAGTCACGCGAGAGATCTCCCGAAAGGCCCAAGAGGGTTTCAGTGGAGAAACGGACGTATGCTTCCGGGAAGGACTAGCGCCCCGATGGGAATGGGAATGGGAATGGGCATGGGCATGGGCATGGGAATGGGAATGGGCGGCGCTCAGATGCCAAACACGGCACCAGGAATGGTGTCGTTGAGTCCTCAACAACAGATGCAGATGATGGCTATGCTAGAAGAACAAGCTCGAATGATGGCTCAGATTATGCCCGGGATGGTTCCACCGGCGATTAACCCCGCATTTCAGAGCGGCCCGCCTCCGGGCCAACAAGGACGCTCCCTGTTTGAACGAGCGGAGATCAACCCGAACCCGAACCAGCCCTTCGGTCGACCGGAGCACGCGAACGGCCATTCTTCAAAATTCCACCGACCAGCTGCAAACGTCGACGTTGAAATGGACACATCACAAGGTGCTCCAGGTTCTTCCATGGACGTTGATACTGCACACGAAACCCAAGCCACAGAACCAGGCCCCAACACTGTTTGCCGATTTAACCTGAAATGCACACGGAAAGACTGCCCTTACGCGCATCAATCCCCCGCCGCCCCTGAAGGCATGGTCGTCGACGTGAATGACGAATGTCCGTTCGGAGCAGCATGCAAAAATCGGAAATGCGCCGCCCGACACCCTTCCCCCGCCCAAAAGATCGAACACCAATCCGAAGAACTCTGCCGATTCTTCCCACACTGCACGAACCCAAACTGCACATTCAAGCATCCGAGCATGCCTATGTGCCGAAATGGCGCGGACTGCACGACACCAAATTGCAAATACACACATCTGCAAATCTCCTGCAAATTCAACCCGTGTCTTAACCGGATATGCCCGTATAAGCATGCGGAGGGCCAGCGGGGCGTGTTTGCGGATAAAGTATGGAGAGCAGGTGATGATGCGAAGAAGGAGCACGTTAGTGAACGAAGATTCGTGACCGATGAGGATGGGGAGGAGGAGCTTATTAAGCCTGGGACTGCTGCGGCCGCCGATACATCCATCGATGCAGACGAAGCGAAGGGCCACGAGATTTTGACTTGATACACCTCCTTTATAATTTTCCGGTTCAATTTCGTTTTCATTTTATATATATCGCGGGTTTTTTAATTTCCTAACCGCCACCCCACACCCGTGCGGCCGCTGTTTACCACCTGTTTATAAAGACCACCATATTTTGAGAATCTCGTTTTCCTTCTTGATTTCTTTCTTCCCGGGGTTTCCTTCTTCCTTCCTTCCTTCCTCCCTAACCATGTATTCAACCTTGCCTCGCTTCCAAGTTTTAACTGGGGTTGTACCCCCTGGCATGATCGGCGTTTGGATAAGGGGTGCTGCAGTCGAGGGTTTTTTTTTTTTTTTTTTCCCAAAAAGGGGGATTTCAAATGGTAATATGGGGAATATGGGCGTTCAAACATATTGGAGAATGATGAGAAGTTTTTAGATCATGTATGATTATTTTATTTTATTTTTATTGATTTTCTTCATTCAGAAACGGGGTTTTCTCTTTCATGAGGAATGAAGTTTCCTTTTCCTTTTCCTTTCCCCATTATTTTTATATATAACTACGGAGTATAGAAGGGATGTTTCATTATCCTCTTACCTAACCCCTATTTTATGCCATCTCGTCCGATGAAGAGGAAAGAAACAGATGGCCAATAAATTTAGTATCAGATGAACCGTATTTGTTCAACTACTACTCCGTACGCGGAACATCGTCTTGAAGCTTATTAACTCTTATTTTGTATGTCAGATTTGATTTTGTACGAGGCGTTGATAACCTTGCAGGCTATGTAGTAGCAAAATATATCCTGGAGAGTGAATAACAATGGACGTTCAAACGGATTTCTTTTCTTTTTTCTTCCCCACAGTACATCACTGTGCACATTATTATTATATTCTCTGATTTTTTACAGCAACCCAGAAAGTTCTGTGCTTTGAGTTTGTTTCGCTATTCGACCCCTTTTGAGGCCCTGACAAGTTCCTACGTTACCAACTTGGCTCAGTAATTTTTTGCTCTCCTCCTACCCCCACGGCCCGCCCATAGGACATCGAGACGGTTTCTTATCTGATTGAGTTCTATGTATGTATGTAACATCTTCTACATAGTGCTCCATAAAATCCTGTCACCATTTCCCCTGCAATCCGAGCCTGTCTGGCTTCATCCACATTACCCTCATTTATTTGGCCGGGGTTGGCGATGGTTTTCGAGATGATTTGGTAAACATTTAGCATCTGGAATTACGATTTTCGGATTGTTTGAAAGGAAGTATAAAAAAAATACCATGAACAGTAGAGTTTTTGGAACTCCGATAGAAATAATGTGCAAAACATGGGGAGAGATTGAGGCCCAGAAACCTAAATTTTAGCTCATTTCCAAGACCAGCAATCGCCGCAAACAAAACTGCCCGAGCCAGCAACCCTCAAGGACTGAGGCCACAGTACATAAATACCATAATTTCTCATTGCCATGCGTCCACGATGTTTACATTGCCGCACCATAGACGAGCTATGGGCGCATGCTCGCCCCGGAATACGGCCATTGCCTCGGCCTAGACGATTAATCACATCCCGCACAGCTCCAGTTCGACGCTTCACCTCCGATCCGAGCATACATCAGAAAAACGTTGCTGTAATAGGGGCCGGTGTTACTGGCCTGTCAACTGCATTCCGTCTCTCTCAAGATCAAGATGCACGGGTTACACTTTATGAGAAGGCTCCGAAGCTTGGTGGTTGGTTGCAATCGGAAATAATCGATGTTGATGGTGGGGAAGTGCTCTTTGAATACGGACCTAGAACACTCCGCGCGGGATTGGAAGGCAGCATGTCGACGTTGGAGCTGGTAAGATAGCGCACAAATCCCCATTCTGAGTTTACCAAAGATATTCTCGAAACTAATGTGTATGTCATTGTGAGCGTTTTAGTTATTCGATCTAGGCCTCAAAGACGATATTATCTCAACCAAGACAGATTCCCCCGCTGCCCGCAACCGATACATTTACTACCCAGACCACCTCGTGCGTTTACCGGGTCCGTATCCCGGCGCTGGCGTACTGGGAAACGTTATTATGAATGTTATGCAACTAATTTCAGAGCCCGTGCTCAGGAGACTTGCGATGGAAGTGATTTTGGAGCCTAGACGGCCCGTCCGCGACCCAGCAATATCTGACGAGTCCATCGGCGATTTTATCAAGCGCCGTTTTGGGCCGAACGCGGCAGATGTTGTTGGGTCTGCGTTTTTCCATGGCATCTATGCTGGCGATCTATACAGACTCAGCGCGCGGTCGATTTTGCGCGTCGCCTGGGATGAGTTCGAGCTCTCTGAACGAGGGTTTGCGACGGAGTTGATGGATCAGGCTAACCAACTAAAACTTTCTATGCCATATGATATTGCCATGGCTCGTCGGTTGGTTGAGAAGGAGAAATATAATGAGATTCGTCGGTTTGCAAAGGGTAATAATGTTTTTACCTTGCGGCGGGGTATGGGGCAGCTCTCCACAGCATTAGAGTCGTCGTTAAGGGGTGCATCGAATGTGGAAATTAAGACGGGTGCCGAGATTAAGTCTATCTCTAGGAGGGGGGAGGATTCAGCATCTATGACTGTACGTCAGATACCACACCCGATTCCTCTCCATTTCTTGCTAACCGCATGTCACTATTCTATAGGTTGGCCTTGATGATGGTACCGCTTCCGACTACGACTATGTAATATCCACGACAACTTCCGCAGCCCTCTCCCAGCAACTCCTTGCCTCAGGAACGAACCAACCTCCAACATCCGTAACCGACCTTCTCGATGAAAATGACTACGCTGTTACCGTCATGGTCGTCAACCTCTACTACAAAAACCCAAATCTAATCCCCACCCGCGGCTTTGGCTACTTAATCCCACGCTCTGTCCCCTTTGATCTAAACCCCGAACGCGCACTCGGCGTTATCTTCGCCTCAGATAGTAGCGCCGGGCAGGACACTGCCGACCCTCCCGGTACAAAGCTTACCGTCATGCTTGGCGGTCATTGGTGGGATGACTGGCTCCTCTCAGACCTGCCGAATGAAGAGAGCGCCATCGCCATGGCCAAATCGGTGCTGGCGAGGCATCTGGGCATCGCTGACGAACCTGTTGTTGCCAAAGCGCGGTTGCAGAGGGATGCGATTCCCCAGCCGACGATTGGACAAGTGATGCGGATGGAACAGCTGCATGACGCTTTGGAGCGCCGGTTTGAGGGGAGATTGAAGGTTGCTGGGGCGTGGTATACGGGTGTTGGGGTTAATGACGCAATACGGGCTGGGAGAATTGTGGCCGCGGCGACGCTAGAGGGGCGGGACGGGACTACGGGATTGGAGAGATATACATCAGAGAATTTTAAAGGGAGGTTTCCTGCTTTGAAAGTGCAGGAGGAGGAGGAGGAGTGAGTGTATGATTATTTGAGAGGGGTTTCTTCTTGTGTGATGTATATTAAAGGTGGAAATACATATGGTTTTGGTCTTCTTCTCCATTGCGGCTTCGAGCTGAACTTATTGTCAGATAGAAATAGAGATTAAAATTCATATACCCCTTTTTAGGCGCGAAAAGTCCGATTCATTGACTATATGCCACCGAGATATCAGGGTACGCTCTTGTTCGTACCTGTATTGTTTGCCATCTCCTATCCGTCGATATTTCCCCTGGGTTTGTTTCTTGGTGTTGCAACTATTCATTCAATTGCATGTGCATAGCCCTTTCAAGCCCAGGACTTCACTCATATTATTCACCATCAAAATGTATCCCTCCCCAATCTCCACATCTGAGTTGAACTTGTCTCTCCAACATGCAATCAGAGGCCCTTCACAAATCGGCATGGCTAATGGTAAGAATGGTAAGAATGGTGTCATGCCGGTAATGGTATCGATGGCCTGTCGACAGGGTGCGTAGCTGAGTCCACACAACGATGGCATGAGGGTTCTGTCACACCGTTCGGGTGCTCAACTTCGTATGATAGTATCATAGGATCTTTATCGTTAACTCCCCCTCTTTCCTCCTTCGAAGGCGTCCCGAAAAACATCCGTCGCATACCACCTTCAAAAACGAAAATTTTAGAAAGAAATCACACAAGAGTACCGTAGCCTTCGCAGACAGGATATTCCCGGCCATTCAGGGATTTAGATCCCCACTCGTCTTCTTCTTTTCCCCCTCTGTATCAAACCCCAACGCATCCAATTGCCTCACCAACTCCTGAATCTTAATAACTTTCTCAAACTGCTCCGGAAGCAGATTCTCGCCATTATCCTTCTTCTCCCTTAGCTCCCTTGCCTGCCTCAGTTTTTTGCGTAGGTTGCGCGCTTTCCTCTCCTTCTCAGCCTCAGCGTTCAGAACGGTGTCGGTGCCAGAGCTAGGTTTTTCTTCTTCCCTCCTTTCTCTCCAATTATCGTTCCCCATTGCCTTGTTTGTGGTCGCTCCTTCTGTCTTTCCAGAGTTTGTAGTCATATCATTCTCGCCCTCCGCAGCCTTCGCCCTTCGCTTTGCCTCCCGCTTCTTCGCATTCTTATTACTTGCAGCCGTAGCTGTAGTTGAATTGGTAGATTCCTCTTTTAAACCCTCTGCACCAGGAACACCGCCCTTGCCGCGATTCTTCCACACCTCAGCTGTACGGTTTTTGTACACCTGGATATCCTCGGGTGGTCGGTAGCCGGGGCGAATTTTGATTTCACGGCGCTGGGAGCCGTCAGGGCGTACGGAAGCGGGAATGTGGCGCTCGCCAGTTAAGGCATTGACTGTTATTCCTGAAGAGGAAACGGGTTCTGTTTCCGGCTTTGGCATGGTGTGCAAGACGAAGATGTATATATACGTGGTATCAGGTGGTGTTGTGGGCGTGGGCGTGGGCGTGGGCGTGGCCCTCCTCGCGAAGGGGTCGGAATGAGAGTTCAGACAGAGATACTTATATTAAATGGATATACGCGTCCAGCAATTATGAATCCAATGGAGTCAGAGTCAACAGCAGCTTCACCCTGCCAGCGCATGTGTTGTTACGTGGAGTGAAAGCACTGGTGGTATGTATATTCGACTCATTGGATGTTGCTTTTTCCTGGTTGGCAGAATCCAAGGCGGAACCTCGGCTGGGCCAATCACCGCCTGTTTATTTAATTCCCGACGCCGTTCCTCTTCTTTCCTACATTCTTCAACCTGCGAATAGATCGAGTCTACACATCCAACTTGTCGCATAACTATCCTCTGACGCAATTGTGGCCCGCATAGCAATTTCCTCGTCGAAACCTCATACCTCTCTCACCATGGCTGGAGTATGTGATACCCCAATTCCTTAGCCAAAGCTCTATTCCCACGTTTGTCCACTAGATGGATTGTGCTAACACAAACACCCTACATTTCCACAGATCTCCGGAATGATATACAAGCAAGCCCTCCCTGCATCCTAACTCTCTACACTTGCAGACTATACCGTCTTCTAGCTGGATGAAGCGCTAATCTTCAACCCTTATTTAGCTCCCTCTTCCGACGGAATACCACGTTCCTGACGTCGATGTTTGTCGGAGCCTTCGTGTTTGAAATGTACGTTGATGGCTATGTTTATATGAAGAAAACTTGAGCTTTTGCGCATATTGGGTGGGATTGAAGCTGACAATTTCTGTCCTTGGTTATTAAAATAATAGAGCATTCGACACCATCAGTGACCGGATATTTGATTCCATAAATAAGGGTGTATGTACACAACTACTCGGCTTCCCCAGTTTGACCGATTCTAGGACTTTGATTGGCTGATTTTGGCACCTGTGTACAGAGACAATGGAAGGATATCCGACACCAGTACATTCAGGCGGCTGAGGAAGAGGAATAGACGAGGGAAAACTGGAAGATATTGATTTTAGAGGTGTGCTCTGTTCTCCTCTGGAAAGAAGCTTGACTTGGAAGTGAGAAGGAATTGTACTGTACATGTACAAATTAGACCCTGTGGCATTATACAAAAATTCATATATGTTTTTGACAAGATACGGGTCCGCCATGTGTGGCCATCTGAGCTGCCCTTCAATCGTACTTGAATAAAATTGTAGTAGCTGAGAATTAGAGCCTGCGAGCTCTATATTGATCGCTCTTCCCTTGTATGGAGGAACTATGCGAGTGGCGTTATCGGGACCCTCCGTGGCTAACAGCTAAACAAAACTCAGAACATGAACGTACCTCTGGGCGAGATCCGTAGCCAACTCAGCGAATTATTTTTGAATTTAGTGCATTTGGCGCATATTTAGAGCAAGTAAATAATGTAGGTGGTGTTATGCTGCGGTGTGGCTGCTTACTGTTCTGATAGACTTAAATAAATATTGATACCAAAACATCATATGGTGGGGAAGCAAACAAAGTAAATACTTGACTTGATATCCAATCCAACATCAACCATCAACAAACGCTTTCACCAACTCCCATCGCTTTCATAGTTCTCTTCACTGCCTATTACTGTTTTCCTTTTGCAGTTAATATCCTCAACTCTTAGTTATTCATTTGCAAACTTTTTCTCACTTTCTTCATCTTACGCCCAAACTCTCCGAGTCCCCTCTTTCGCCTCCCCACCACCAACCACTCAACCCAACCGGACATACGAAATCCACAACCTCGCGGCACCATAATTTTAAGTCACGGGACAATACGATATAAATGACCTTAACGAAGGTGAGATAAAAACAACATACAGCAGTACCATGTTGTCGAATCTTGAACGGAGACTCGGCCGGGCTCTGCTGGAGCATCCCTCCCGACATGGTTACCGCTACACTAAGGAAGCCAGCCAAGACCTCCTCGAGCTCCTCTTCCACTCCCTAACTGGCTACAATGAAGAATATCTCCGCCTGCTCTTCCCCGACGGCTTTGCAGACGGTAAATGGAAGTTGTCTGAAGTTCAGGGTGCCGTTGAAGGGGCTGAATATACCGAAGCTGCACGTGGGAAACGGTGCGGGCACATTTTCAAAAACGGCGAAGCTTCATACCATTGCATGACTTGCTCTATAGACGATACATGCGCGCTGTGTACGCGCTGCTTCGATTCTTCAGATCATACGGGCCACAAGTATTCTATTTCGTTATCTAGTGGGTATAATGGGTGCTGTGACTGTGGCGACGAGGAGGCGTTTAAGGTCCCTGTTCTATGTGCTATACATACGGAGATGCCGCAGGACGTTGAGGGGGCAGGGAAGTCGTCGGCATCGTCGTCTGCTGCGCAGACGCCTGCTGAATTGGTGGAAAGTGTTACTACAACGATCAGCAGGGTTTATGACTATTTCTGCGATGTTATCTCGTGTTCTCCAGAGCAACTGAGGCTTCCAAAGACTGAAAATGGCATCAGGGAGGACGAGGCGGCATCGAGGCTATCGGCAGAATGGTATGGTGGGAGTGATCCTGTCGAAGAGGAGCCTGAGTTTGCACTTGTCCTCTGGAATGACGAGAAACATACTGTTACCGAGGTTGCGAATCAACTGTCGCGTGCCTGTCGAGAGGGGTCTAAATTCGGGATAGAGAAGGCCAACGAGACTCATGAGATTGGGAGGAGTGTGGTGAGATACTCGAAGGATTTGGAAAGCCTACTTTCGGTGTCGAAGATCATCGAGCAGATTAGGGTTACTGTCACGTTAAGATCTGCGAGAGATACGTACCGAGAGCAGATGTGTGGGACTATTATTGAGTGGCTTTCTGATATTGCGTCCTGTTCCATTGGAGAGGACAATCACCTGCTCAGGCAGACTGTGTGCGATCAGATGATTCAACCTTGGAGACTTGGAAGCAGTGCATCAAATGCCGACATTGGGAAGCACGGTATCTATGATAACGAGGAGGAGGATAGGTCGAGGAATTACTCTGTACGAGTTGCCATCGTTCCCGGGGGGGCCCTTGTGCAGCTTCCCATGACTGCTGATGATCTGAATCTCGGTGATCAGGACGCAGGGGAAGAAGACCAAGAAATGGATGGAGAGCAGGATGACGATAATGGAATTGAGGGTGATGGGGATGAGGAGATGGATGAAGCCGAGCACGTTCGGCGTAACCTGGGACAAGTTGTAGAAGCCATAGAAGCAAGGGCAAACACTATTAATGCCGACGCTGAAATGGCGGACGACGACCTGGAAGCCGAGGAGGCTACTTTCGCTGGATATCCACCACCTCCACCCCCACCCCCACCACAACAGCCTCCTCAGCAAGCAGTTGACCAAGGCATTGATACCCCCATTGCACCTACCGGCCCTGGCAGTGAGGGTTCTACGGGTTCCGTTTCTGGTGGAAAAATCAATATTCCTCAAACTCCCGGCGTGAGATGCGAACCTTCTGAGGGAGCACCTTCTTACTGGGAGATTAAGCCTCGGCGATTTTACCATAATGAAAATCTAACCCCCTATGAAGATTTGCGGAAGAGGACAAGACTTGATTGGATTATCCTCTTCGACTTGAGGCTATGGAAGAAAACCAGGACGGACGTTCGGGAACTATGCCTAGGTACCGTCGTCAACATACCGCAGTTCAAACGCATCCTCGGTCTGCGGTTCTCTGCTTTATATACCGCTCTCGCCCAGTTGTATCTGATCGCGGATCGGGAACCAGACCATTCTATCATTAACCTTTCTCTACAACTATTGACAACCCCTTCTATAACCGAAGAAATTGTCGAACGGGGGAACTTCTTGACGAATATTATGGCTATTCTTTATACCTTCCTTACCACTCGCCAGGTCGGGGAACCCCAAGATGTTAACCCTAACGCGACTCTCTCAATAGACACTGGCTCGGTAACTAACAGACGACTATACCATTTCTTCCTTGACCTGCGCTATCTCCTTCTATCTGATCATGTCAAGAGTCGGATCCGTAATGAGCGTCAGTATCTAAATCAGTTCCTGGACCTCGTTAAACTCCCGCAGGGCATTTGCCCGAATGTTCGCGCAGTCGAAGCCCACGTTGAATATGAGACTGAAGGCTGGATTGGGGCATCTATTCTGATGCGCGAAATTAATCGCTTGTGCCGTCTGTTCTGTGAAGCCTTCCGTAAAAACGAATCGGAAGAAGACGCTGCTCACATCTATGATGCAATAGCTACTGCCGCTTATTCAACGATGGTTAACTCACTAGGGGTGGAGCAACATCGCTTTAACCAAGCTGAGATTAAAGACTACGTCCGCTTCAAGTCTGTTTCATACGTCGAATTCGAAAAAGACGCTTTCCAGAAGGTTTCGCACCATCGAATCGTCGAATTTGCGGTGGAGCGCGGTGCGATCAGTTTCCATCATGCACTCCATTATACACTCTCCTGGCTGTTGGAATGTGGACGGGATATGTCACAAGATAAAATGAGAGATGTGCTACTCCGCACCGCGGGGATGGTTAAATCTCAGCAACTAGTCGATACGCCCATCCCAAATCTTAGTCTGGATGATATTTTACTCACCATGTTTGATTACCCCTTGCGGGTGTGTGCGTGGCTCGCACAGATGAAAGCTGGGATGTGGGTGAGAAATGGGCTCAGTCTTCGACATCAAATGGGTCAGTATCGCGCAGTTACCACCCGTGAAATGGCATTTTATCGGGATCTCTTTTTGCTGCAGACTGCTTTTGTCGTTTGTGATCCTAGTAGGTTTCTTGCGAGCATGATTGACCGTTTCGGTGTTGGGGACTGGATGCGAGGCGGCTATGCGACTAGACCTGGCTATGACGATGCCAAACATGTGGATATTCTGGAAGAGATGATTCATTTAATGATCGTCTTGGTCACCGATCGAACGTCGCTGACAGGCGTGGACGATGGCGACAATGCTCGGAATAGTACTATGGCTAGAGATATTGCGCATGCACTATGTTTCAAGCCGCTGTCGTATACTGACTTGACCATTCGCATGAGTGATAAGTCTGGAGAATCGGGCAATTTACAGGAGGTGTTGGCTGAGGTCGCTACGTTCCGTCCCCCTGAAGGCATGAATGATACAGGCACTTTTGAATTGAAGCCTGATTATCTCGATCTCGTGGATCCATACTGCACATACTATACTAAGAACCAGAGAGAAGAGGCCGAGAACTCATATAAGCAGTGGATGGCGAAGAAGACAGGCAAAGATGCATCGTCAATTGTGTTCGAGCCGAAACTTCGCGTGATACGGTCGGGAGCCTATGTTGGGCTTTCTGACTTTACCCAAACTCCATTGTTTGCTCAAGTCATTCATCACTGCCTGGACTACTGTTTGACGGCCGATACTGTAACCAAATCAATCACTGTCACGAGGATCGAGACACTTTTGCATCTGGTCCTTCACCTGATTCTCTTAGCTACCCTCGAAGATCACGTCCTTGAAGATGACGCGCATGACAATGCTGCGGGACAACCTGACTCGACGGAGTCTTTCATCTACCACGCTCTGTTCAGGACCAAGTTTACTAAAACCGCGGAGATAGGCATTATCGGCTTGCTTCAAAATATATCAACGGTGCCTGAATTTTCCTCCTGTGGACCAAAGATTCGTCACATTTTGAAGAAATTTTGGCAGAAGCGCCCAAAGTCTTATGCTGCTGCCACAATTGCTCTTAAATTTCCATTCGATAATATCGAGACTCCATCGCCGGCTGTCAGGACGGAGAGCGAGCTCGAGCTTAAAAAGAAACAAGCACTCGATCGACAGGCGAAAGTGATGGCTCAGTTCCAGCAGCAGCAGCAAAACTTTTTGCAGGCACAGGGTTCTATTGACTGGGGCGAGGATGATGATATGAGCGAGACTGGAGAGCCGAGCATTCTCAGTCCCACCGAAAAGAAGCTGTGGAAGTACCCAGATGGTCGATGTATTCTGTGCCAGGAAGATACTAACGATTTGCGCATTTACGGAACCTTCGCTTTCATGGCAAATAGCAGACTTTTCCGACAAACTGACATGGAAGACTCGAGTTATGTTGGAGAAGTATTGAAAGTCCCTTCGAGTCTCGACCGTTCTGCCGAGAATATTCGTCCCTTTGGTGTTGCTAGAGAGAATCGAAAAATGATACGGAGCCTTGATTCGACAGGGGGTGAAGTAATTACAGAAAAGCAGGGTTTGGGTAAAGGCTTCAAGCCGAAGCACACAATAGAAGGCCCCGTTACGACGGGTTGCGGACATATTATGCACTACCACTGCTTCGAGGATTATTATGCCGCCGCGCAAAGGAGGCATCAACATCAGGTTGCTCGCAATCAACCTGAAAGGTTACGTCTCAATGAATTTGTGTGTCCACTGTGCAAGGCTCTAGGAAATGCCTTCCTACCAATCATTTGGAAGGGCAAGGAGGAGTCCTACCCTGGAGCGTTAAGCACGATAGACTCTTTCGATGAATTCTTGAACGAAACCCTGGTGTACTCTGTGACTAGATTCCGAAATCATGCTCTGATCATGGAGAGTGATAAGCTTTATTCTTCGGGATATCAGGAATTGTTCGTCGATTACGTATCTAAGAATTTTATAACCCCCTTGTCCCACAAGGTGAATCAATTGGCAACACCCACCCTTCCGGAACTGCTATCTTTCCCACAACCGACCAGGCTGCAAATGCCAGGCCTATACCCTCCAGCAGATGAAATCACCTCCATGGAACCTCCCCCTACGCAACCAACTACTATTTCCACCACGACAGCCAGCGACTCCATGGTCGCGGAGCTTGTTACTATCTACAAAAGGCTGAGAGATACCATCCGCACCAACGGAATCCAGTCACAATTCGGGTATCAGGGGAATGTATCGGACGACCTTATCCATACTGACGTCCTGCTCAGAAGCCTTGGGCTTTCCATTACAGCGGCGGAAATTGCGCAACGGGGTGTTGGATCTGAAGGTGGCACCACGTTATTAGCTCAAATTCCGCAGATGACCTTAACTCACCTTCGTGTTCTATCGGAAACTGCTTTTTCGTACTGCTCAATCGGAGGACTAAACACTACGACGACAAATAAAACCGTCTATGAATTTAGGGATATGCATCGACGGAGACTCTGTCAGCTATTCGTCGGGCACCCGGAACTGTCAGGTTTATCTGACCTAGCTTATGAAAACAAGTCCATCGAACCGTTACTTCGGCAGGATAGTTTCGTGTTCCTTTCTGAATGCTCGCTGTGCATAGTTCCTGTGCTGAATCTTGACATTCTCCACGTCGTTCGTCTGTGCTATATCGCGGAAATCGTAAAGACCTTCCTAGGATATATTTTGCAACCAAAGGGCTTCCTTGAAGTGTTGGAAAATCATGGTTCGGAATCATCTACAGACGATGATCCCATGGGCCCACATGAATCCTTGACGCGTGCTATGTTTGATTGGCTTGTGAAGACGTACCGGGCGTCATCAGTCGATAGCACATTGCCTGAGGAAGGAAGCTCCTATCTTCTTAAGCACGCTGAGGACGTCTCGATCGAAACGTTGAAGAGCCTCCGGCGACTAATTGACATATATGCTCTCCCTTTCCTCCGAAAAGCCGTGATTTTACTCCATGTTCAGTTTGGGGTCGAATTCCCTAATACCGGTTCCGACTATAACGACTTGGCAGAGATTGACCGCCTTGCGACGCTACTCAATCTTCCATCCATCGATAGCATTTTCGATTCGCTGGTCAAGAACGACGGAGAAGATAACGAGAATTGCATGGCGCAGCTAGTTTCTGGGTGGATTTCGCATTTCATTTCCTGGTTGCCTGAAACGGACGATGATGAACAGGAGGAGCAGCAGGAGCAACAAGATCAGCAACAACTGGCTACCTTGTCACTTCCGCACCCTGCGATTTTCGAGCTAGTGGGCCTTCCCAAGTATTTTGACACCCTTTTAGACGAGGCTACGAGGCGCCGTTGCAAAACTACTGGCAAAGAACTCACGGATCCAAGCATTTGTCTCTTCTGTGGTGACATCTTCTGCTCACAGGCCGTTTGCTGTCGACCTCTGGGTGATCGGAAACTGGGTGGCTGTAATCGTCATGTTGCTAAGTATGTACAATTTTTCCCACGTTTCCCGCATGCTCAGCTAATTTCAAGCTTGAATTCGTGCCCAAGTTACTAACGATTGCTTTTGTAATTATAATAGATGCGGTGGGAACATCGGCCTCTTCATCAATATCCGCAAATGCATGGTCTTGTTCCTCCATAACAAGAGTGGTTCCTGGCATCATGCCCCTTACCTGGATATTCATGGCGAAGTTGACCCAGGTTTCAGACATCATAGACGCCTGATATTGAATCAGAAGCGGTATGATCGGCTTCTCCGCGACGTGTGGCTGGCGCATGGAGTACCTGCCGTGATTAGTAGAAGGCTAGAGGCAGAGATTAATAACGGGGGATGGGAGACTATCTAAGTTTTGCATGTTGCTATGTTTGGGATTGGAAATTTGGAATTGAAACGCTTGGGCATGCTGGGCATAATATGTTTTGTGATTGAGTCATGAATTTCTCACCCTCTTTTGGTTGAACAGTGCAAACCGTTGGATTCATTTTTGGTTTGCGTTTTCATTTCCCCCGTTTATTTTTCGGACGTGCTCTTCGTTTTTATTGTATTAACTAAGAAAGCTTTTAAGTGAATATCCTTCTTTGTGTGCTCTACCTGTCACTCTTCTTCCGGTACACTTATTTATCCATTCGATAGTGCTTAATCCCCCGTGTATCTATCACGATATGTAAGGCAAGGACGAGATTGTTGATTACGTAATCCAAATCGCCTCGCGTCAAGCTCGGCCGAAGCTCCTCAAACCATCTTCATCTACAAAACAGCAAGGCCATACATAACCCGCTTACGTTTACTGACACTCAACTGGTTTCTTTTTATTTTTATTTTTCCCTTTTTACATGAAACGTAAATGATGTGGTTCTTTTGAAAACTTTTTAAATAAAGAGATACAAGATCACTAAATCATAGCGGGCTGTGCGGGCTGTGTGACCATGAACAACGAGCAATTTCGTCGCCTGCTCTTCGAAAATCAACAGAAAAAGGGCCATGACGCTTCACCTACCAACCGGACATCCCCTGTTGGCGGGGATTCAACTCGCTCAAAGCCAGCAGCTTTGGGATCTAAGATGAGATCGAGCATTCCCATGACACCGTACGCATGCCCCCCCATACCCACAGTTCAAGCTCTGCTGCCCAGGTTGCTTGCGTTGAACATCTAGGACTAACATTTTTACTGTCGTCTTTACCCATGCAGTCGATCAGTTACCGGCGTAGATTTTGCACGCCAATTAGCCGAACATCGCCGTGAATCGCAACCATCCCTCGCAAAGAAATTCAGATCGTCCGCTGCTCCTAAAGGTGCAAAGTTGGCCGAGGGATACCAGGATAGGACACTTCTACGACGGGCAGGCCAGGATGAAGCAGAGAATGCTAAGGAAGGTGGTAAGGGCGTTCGTGGAGATGATGATCTAGAGACCAGGATTCGAGCGTTGGAAGATATGGTTAAACTTGGCCAAGTCGATCAGCCTACGTTTGAGAAACTTAGGGAGAAGATTGGGGTTGGAGGCGATGTGAAAAGTACGCATTTGATCAAGGGGTTGGATTGGAAATTGTTAAGGAGAGTTAAGGCCGGAGAGGATATAAACGCACCCCCTCCTAGCGGGCCTGAGGGAGACGTGTCGGGGCAACCGCAACAGGAGACCTTTCAGGATATTGATGAGGAGTTTGACATGGTCCTTGCAGAGAAGGAGAAGGAAGTGAAGGAGCCGGCGCAGAAGGTTGAGAAGGTTAAGAAGGGGACTATGTCTTCTTCAACCCCAGATACTGGCAGGAGAATGACACGAGATGAGATTTTGAAGGAGTTGAAAGCTTCTCGGGCCGCTGGTGGCGTGCAATGTACCCCCTCTGAGCCTCCCGCTCCTCCGCTGGGTGAAAAATTTAAGAAAATAGGAACAAGGCCTGAGAAAAGACGATGGATTGAAAAGGATGAACACGGCAGACAACGAGAGGTCCTGCTCACTACTGATGCTGAGGGGAAGACAAAGAGAAAAGTTCGATGGCTTGATAAATTGGGTGATCATGCGCAGAAATCTTGGGACGGTGGGCTTTTACCAGTTGACAAAGACGCGAAACCACTGGGTATGGATGTCCCTGCTGAAGTTCTGTCGCGGGCGAATGCAGCCGCCGCTGTGGAGGAAGAATACGACGATATTTTCCAGGGAGTCGGGAGGGACTATAACCCGCTTGCCGGTGGAGATGATGAGGATGACGAATCTTCGTCTTCTGACGAAGCAGACGATGGAGCGAAAGAGAAAGCTTCGCTGCCTCATCTGGATGTAGCCAAAGAGAGCTACGCACAGCAGGAACCAACCTCCCCTAAACCAGCAAAACCCCGGAATTACTTTGCTACGTCTTCCACCGTCCAAGAAGACCTAGAAACTGCGACCAAGCCTACGCCTATTTCTGCCGACCCAACAATACTTGCAGCACTAAAACGCGCAGCAGCCATTAGGCAGGCTGCTCCAGAGGCCCTTGGTGATGACGCTGATTTGGATCAAGAGGCTGCTCTAAAGCGCAAGAAATTTTTTGAAGAGGCCAAGAGACGAGAAAGAGAAGATGCAATGGACTTGGATCTTGGATTTGGTGGAAGTCGATTTGGGGATGAGGAGGATGAGGAGGGTGGGTGGGAAGCGGAGGGACGCGGCGCGGGGTCTAAAAGGAAGAGAGGCCCGAAGAAGAAGAAGGGCGACAAGGATAGCGTAAGTGATGTGATGAAAGTGCTCGAGGGGAGACGCCAAGGTGAAAAAAAGGGGCCATCATCCAAAAGTGGTGGTTGAAAGAATAGTGCTTTCGCGCACTCAATACTTTCGGATGTTGTGAAGCAATATCCATGGAGACATCCAAGGAAATTTTCCTAGATTCTTCAATGCAGCTTTTGATTTTACTTTTGGATACTGCGGTGACCTTTTTGATATCTTCAACAAATCCACAGCATTACTTAAGCGGGCAGCAGTTACATGTAGCATGTGCATGTTATTGACGCGAAAGACGCCTGGGTTATTGAAGATTCGGGGGACCTTTCTACAGAAGACTTTGTTCCGGCAACAGGCAACTGCTTTCAATACGAAGCATTTATGGTGCTTTTCATATTGTGCAGCACTGCGCAGGTAGCCCGAGGCTAAAATACGGATGGCTACTTCCAACGACCCCTGATTTTCACGCCCGTCAAATGATACTATATTCGGGTACTCTCCAGAGACAGTGTTGCAGAATCATCTACCAGTTGCCGAACAGGCACACGTGCAGCATACAAAGCCTTTGATTCATTCCCCCTCAACGCGGCAATGGTGCAGAAATCACTGTTACAGTGGGGATGCACTGACATATTAGCCCGGCGGTATTCTTCAGCTCACCAAAATGTCCTGCACTATAATCTCCACAATTTACGGATAATATACTTTCACAGGAGGCTCAATACATACCAATGAGATTAAGATCCCAAAGTGTTGGCTAATCAGGACAACTTGAACAGCACTATTTCATGCAGCTTCTTTGATTTTCCAAAGGTTGCTTTTCTTTGTTATGGAGCTACTGCCTGGTGCCCATATTGAAACAAATTTCTCGCGTCTAGGATTGATTCATGCGCTGTCAATCGCGGTTGCCGCTGATTTGTCCTGCAAAGATCGGCGCACATCATTCTTGGCGTCTTGGCTGCACGTGGGTAACAAGGGTCAATGAAATAAGGTTTTGGCGCTATGCCCGCTTTGGATTACGTGCACCGGTACCTGAGCAGCCATGTGTCGAGGCAGTCTTGAGCCTCACGACGAACGAGGCACTATTTACGAACCCATTTGCTGTCCACTCCAGAAGGGATGGATTTCCCCGAAATAACCTTGGATTACACATTTTTAGAACTATCAATTCCTACCACCCTTGCCATGTTCATTCGCTACCGGGTTTAAGGTGGACTGTGGTGTTGCGAATAAAGTACCCAGAAACAAACCATATCTTTGTCCAATGTGCGCCCGAGCTTTGGATAGATTAAGAGCGACAATAAAAAACGTGCGTCTCCTCCAAAACATCCGGAGACATCCTAACTAGGAACGCGAGGTCTAGCCCTTTTTATGACTTTGCCAGAAACTTGCATTTCCTTCGCGCCTGCAGGCTCCTCCTTTTCGTCCACTAGCATATTTCGCTACCATGTGCGAACAGCCCTAAAATGCCTGCGTATCGTGTTAGTTTTGGTCCCCAGCAAGTGGATCATCTATCACTAGCTCTTGGCTCTATCCTTGGTACTCCCATCAATCGCAAGATGACAGCGGATTACGTTCTACGGCACCTTTATCTACAAAGGACCCATCGTGCATCGCACATAAATAGCAGCGTATCCCGTTCATTTTCCATCTCCCAATGTCGCTCGCACACCACCAACCCAACGATAATTTTCCTCCTAATCGAATTTAACATATTCTTGTGGAATTTCGCTCCTTTTCATTTCAGGTACGCAAAAATACATTCTCCACCCACCACGAGAAACAGGAGGTTGCCTTTTTTTGGTCTTAATCCCGATTCTGACTCGAATTCAAGTCATGGTGTCGTTCAAATCTCTCCTCGTTACAAGCGCGCTGGCTTGCGCTGTTTCCTGCGCCCCTGCAGCGGATTATTACACTATTGCTGCTAACCCAGGTTCGGGAAAACGAGGCCTTGCTTACAACAATATTAACCTCCTTACTGCATTCGAGGGAGGTCCCTTCTCCTGGTCCTACAACTGGGAACCCAGGCCTGGGGGTTACACCGCCGGCATTGAATACGTACCCATGCTTTGGGGTCCCAGGGGCTACGGATCATGGAACGCCGATGCGGAGGCAGGAATTGCTGCTGGTAGCAAGAATCTACTCGCTTTCAACGAACCCGATATAGCCTCACAAGCCAATATGTCTCCAGAAGCTGCCGCGGCGGCGTATCAGAAGTACATGAACCCGTACGCAGCTAGAGCCCGCCTTGGCTCTCCAGCCGTTTCCAATGGGGCCCCTCCAAAGGGCCTTGGCTGGATGCAGGGATTCCTGGACGTCTGCGCCGGAAACTGCAAGATCGACTTCCTTGCTGTCCACTGGCACGGCCCTAGTGGAAATGTGGATGATTTCAAACGCTACGTTAGCGAGGCAATCGCACTTGGCCAGAAGTATGGAATTGGCACTGTCTGGGTTACCGAGTTTGAAGGCCAAGGGGATGAGGAAGCGCAGGTCAATTTTCTGAAGGAGGTGCTTCCATGGTTGGATTCGAATGCGGGCGTGGAGCGCTATGCCTCTTTCTTCGTCGATAATCTTGTCAAAGGAGGCGCTTTGACTTCCGTCGGCAAGGCTTATAAAACGATCTAACGGAGAACTGGCGATTTTTCCTCTTCGAAACCTAATATCTCTGTACTAGGGTTTTAGAGGTGTGGACCGCCACGACACTTCTCGGTTTGTCTCGGGATATTTTAGTTAAATTGCAGTTCATTATTATTATTCCCTGATTACTAGACTCAATGGATGGTTGGAAGGTAAAGTCTATTCTTATAGTTATTCCTGTATCTACAGTAGTCATACTCTTATATACCCCCCAAAATACGATAAATTTTAACTTGTGGTTTTTAAGATGAATTGACAGTAAGTTAAATTAAACCCAGTTATGTGAAAAGCTAAACACACTGTATACGCTGCGTATATACACATCTATGGAAACAGGCTCTGTTATTTAAGGTTTAGGAGTAATTTACAAAATTTATGATTGTTTTCCCTCATTATTATATCTATTATAAAGGGGTGGCGATGGAATCTCCAACTCTGGAGACCTAAATACATACCTGCAGCCCAGATGTTGCATGATCAACACACCCAAAATAAGCTATATCACCTGTCTCGCTGATTTGTTCTTAGAAACTCGCAACTGGGGTGGACAGGGATGCATTTTTGACTGTTTGGGCCTAAACTGGCCGGAATGAAAATGAGGAGATGCGCTTTTTTTATTTTTATTTTATTTTTTTCATTCTCTTAGCTCAGCTCATTATGTAGGGCTTATATACTCGACGCTTCTAGCCTTTGTGGCAGTAACTAATTATTCCCGACGTTGACGTTTAGAGAATATCCCTGGGCGATGGTGTTTGAATGTTTGAATATGCATCTTGTAAAGCAGCGGAAGTTCATTGCTACACGACATGCGGCCAGCCTCATATCTTGCCAGGTAGGGTTTCATAAAACATAAATTTCTGAAAAAAGAGAAAAAGACGCTCCAAAGCAAAAAATTCATTATCTCATAGCAGTATCACCATCAACATCCATGTCAAGGCCGGCTTCGCCTTTCACACGTGCTTCATCTTCCGGTGGCTCACATTCTGGAAGCTCGCCCACTGCCTTGTTCTGATCTTTCGACCCTAAAAGCGGCTCCTCCTCCTCCCAGACTCGTATAGTCCTGTCCAAACCACAGCTTGCAATTAGCCGCCTCTTCCCAGAATGATGGGTGTCAACGCCCAAGACAACATCAGAATGCCCCTCCAGCTTCTGCAACACTTTTTTATTTACCACGTCCCAACAGAGCACCGCCCCATCCTCACTGCCGCTGGCTGCAAACGCCACAACCTCTCCGCCAGGCGCACCATATACCCCAAAAGCACCTGAAAGACTATATTTCTTGTTTTTATGCCCTTGGTATGTCTTGATGCATCGTCCCTCAACGTAATCCCACAATCTAACGCAGTCGTCATGCGTCCATGCGAGTACGTACTTGCCATTTGGTGAGAATTTGACAGCTGAAACGGGCGGGTTGTCTTCGTGAACAAGCGTGCGGAGACATTGCCCTGTGGCAGTGTCCCATATGCGGATGAGGCCGTCACTGGCACATGAGACAATGAGAGTCCCGTCACGCACGACGTCGACACCAGCAACGGGATCGGAGTGGGCTGGGAGTGACCGCATTACCCGTGCGGATCGGACATCCCATAGATACACAGCTTCGTCATACGAACCGCTGACAAGCATGTTTCCTTTCGGAGAGAAGGCGATGCAGTATATATAGTTGTGGTGGCCGAGAAACGGGTTGGGATGTGGTTTTCCCTGCGAAAATTAGGTCAATTAGCACATGAAATACACCTGGCAAGGAAGTGCAATTGGGGCGAAAACTCACAGTTGGGACATGCCACAATCTAATAGACTTATCATCAGAACCTGATGCTATTAAAGCTCCGTCCGGGCTCCATGATATTGTGGAAATGCCAGCCAAATGTCCTTCGAAGGTATGGATAAGTCGTCCACTGGCTGTATCCCATATTTTTATCGTAGCATCCGCAGCTGTTCCCAATGCATTAGAACCACAAAAGTGATAAAAAAGATTTCATCCAAGTTTTATCCTTACAGCAACTAGCGATCATAGATCCATCAGGAGAGAATTTGACGGATGACACTCCTAACTGGTGACCTTTCAAAACATACTTTTCTCTGTAGTATAATCGCTCGGGCTTGGGTGGAGGAGATGGAGGTAGCGGTGTGGGCGTTGGCGATGAAGGGAGTTTGACCGAGCGTTCTCTATCTTCCCCCTCAAGTGTGGCATCCTCAGATTCATCCCCACGGTCACTCTCTTGCGGACTACTTCCTCGCGAGGATGCCATGCTATTTATTCCTGACCTCCGTCGCCGCCAATAAGAGCTGGCATTTTCTGCGAGTTCATCTGGGCTCCCTGACGCGCTGCGGCTGCGGCTGACGGAATTATTTCTTTTGTATCCTGCAGACGATCTGTAAGAATTAGGAATTTCTCCATCCCAGCTTTGTCTCATCCGCTCAACCTCGGAGTTGGCTGCGAGCTCGTCCGAAGAGGTTTCCGGTGTTGAGGTGTAGCCGTTCTCCAAACGCCGCTTTTTCGAGGGATGACTTTCTTCAGCCATACTGAATAAGAAAAAAATATATTACCGACGTGAAACACAGCAACACTCTGCAAATGAAAGACGGGTGCGGCGAGTGTCCTGGGCTCCTGGTGAATCTGCGTTGAATCTCGCCGGATGCCGTTATGTTACTGAGATGAATGTACGCGATTCTGCCGCCAATCAAGGCGCCCAGAACAGAAGGCGGTGGTCGGGCGCATTCGTCCGAACGGAGTACCTCGATGGCTTTGCAGTTTTACAATCGCTGGCAATTATATGACTGCACAGTAGGGAACTATTCGATCTTATCTTGAATTTGTGCTTTATTGGAACTTCCCATGTTTGTTTATGCCGTCTCCAGATTTGCCTGTTCCAGAATTTAAACCGGCATTTTCCAATTTCCACGATGCTCCCCGAGAACAGCGACGAGCTCCCAGAGAAGATAAACATCCTCACCCTGAACTGCTGGGGTCTTAAATTTCTTTCCACATACCGTCGCGAACGTCTTCTTGAGATTGGGAAACGCATAGCCCGCTCCGATGATCCGCCACACATCGTTGGTCTACAAGAATGCTGGACACAGGAGGACTACAGCAACATCCGCAGAGAGACGCGGGAGATCCTCCCATACGGCAAGTTTTATTTCAGCGGCATATTTGGCGGTGGTCTGGCTATTCTCTCAAAATGGCCCATTGAAGAAAGTACCATGTACGAATATCCGTTGAACGGTCGCCCTACTGCATTCTTCCGGGGTGATTGGTTTGTTGGCAAGGGGGTCGCATGCGCTAGGATCCGTATTGGACCTTCGCCTACTGATACTGCGGAAGTCTTCTGTACACATCTTCATGCGCCCTATGAAAAGGAACCGCGAGATTCCTATCTCTGCCATAGAACAGCGCAGGCGTGGGAAATTGGCAAATTAATGAGGGCCGCTGCCGAAAGGGGGCATCTGGTCATCGGGCTAGGGGATTTTAACATGCTTCCACAATCCTTTGCTCACCGACTCATTACTTCGCATGCACCAGTCAAGGATGTATGGATCCATCTACACCCGGACTCATCTATTGGCGCAGCGGTAGACGCCGTCGAAATGGCCAGGAAGAAGCCGGTCCCATCTGCTGATTTCAATATCATCGAAAACGGAGCTACGTGCGATGGTATTTTCAATACGTGGCGCTGGAACAAATCACAGCAAAAGAGGCTCAAGCGCGAAGGTCATATAGAAGTCGACGGCCAACTTCCTGACCCCCTCGGGAAACGTCTCGACTACATATTCATCGGAGACGGCGCGTACAGCAACTTCTCCTCGCCTAGGAAATGGACCATTGTCTCCGCCCGTGTATCCATGATGGAAAGACACCCAACCCTCCACTGCTCACTAAGCGACCATTTCGGCGTAGAAGCCACAATCACGCTAGATGTAGCCAAAGACGACGATAGCGAGGAAGACCTGTCTTCGTTCCTCCCCATCCAAAAACACATCGAGTCCATCCGATCCAGGTCCTCCGCGTGCATAACCACACGCATCACCGCAGAAAACGCCAGGGACCCAAACGCCAACCCGAAGTCGACCGCGAGTGCGGCCGTAGCCCACCAACAACAGCAGGTAACGCGCATGGCAGGTATGTACGACCAGATCCTCCATATGATATCCGCCTACACCGGCCGAGAGCGATTCCAGCGCCGTGCGCGCCTTGGCCACTTTATTGTCTCCCTGGTCATCACCATCGCCTGCTTGGTTGGTGTATGGTGGTCTCCGCACGCGTTTGTCTCGTTCATTCTCTGCCTGGTTAGTTCCCTGAGCCTCGTCGCGGGGACCATTGATGGGTTGATTGGCGGCTTGTTTGTGAGCAGTGAGTTACGGGCGCTTAAGGAGTTTGAGTGGGAGATTCGGAATGCGAGGAGGACTGTGTTGGGGTTGGGGTTGGATATTGAAGAGGAGCATAGATCGCCGAAACCGGTACAGAGAGGTTGGTGTCCCTGAGAGCTTTGGAAACGGAGCGGCGGAGGTTCTCTACTCCTTGTTTTCTTTCTTCGTCGTATTTACCCTTTCTCAAAAACTTCTTTTTAATATTTTTGATGGATGATATTGATCTAATATTTCCGTTTGAGTTTCATGAGGAATGTTGCCATTACTTTTCGTATATGATTATATGATTATGTGTTTTATATATCAGATTTCCTAATTGCGGACGGATGCATTTCTAGTATCCAACTGGACTGTGGGTGGGTGATTATGTGAGTCACGTTTTGTTTCTAGTTTTGGTCATGTTTATTTCCTAAGCCCCTCCCTATATACAATTAACAATTGGTGGGAATACGAAAGGTGGGCACCTCTTGCGTTTATCTATTCTACATTTATTTTGTTATGTGGGCAATTTCGATACTATTGCAAGTTTTTGACTATCAATGTCCAATGCACTCATGTACATACATTAATATCACCTCCCTAAGGGGAGGGACGAAATATCTGCTTTAACGACAGTAAAGGGACTCTGTGCCGGCCCATGAACAAGCAGACAAGCATTTAATACATTTTTATCCTCCCATGACGTGTTCGCATTATTTTGGAAGACTCCTTCCGTTTCCACTTTCCCTTCGCCTCCAGCCCTTTTCAGGCTTTGAAGGTCAGAAATCAATACCCATTCGGATCAGCACACTCTCTCTTTCGCTCCTCGAAAACTTCCAGCGCAACCTCCGCTGCACGCACTCCACTGAGCATCATGGCCGAAAAGATCGGGCCCATACGGTGCCACCCGTCAACCTCACTCAACTCCATACCTCCAATAATCAACCCCTTGGTCACCTCCCGAGTATTCTTCACAATCGCCTCCTCGGCCGAGTTCATGTCCAGCCCGCGCATGCCACCCAATTTCTCAATTGCAGACATGGACACGAGGCGCTTGGCGCAGAACGCACCGAAAGGGCCATCGTGGCCGGTAGTACTAATGACCAGAGGTGCGTTGATGGTGTTGGGGTCCATGCAGGAGTGGTCATCGTGGTGAAGAGTCACGAGTGTCCAGTTGGTCACGACACCAGCAATGCGAACACCCTGTGTGTCGCCCGGAATTGGGGACGGGCGAGTGACCAAGTCCTCAACACAAGTGGCGTTGAAGAGCTTGATGTTTGGGAAGGAGAGGACCTTAGAGAGTAAGGTGGAAGTGAAAAGAGCAGCATGCTTAATCACGACCATGTTGGGGTTGGAGGGTTCCTGTTCGTACGGAACCCCCAGGTCATCAAGGAAACGGTCAGCCGGCTTGCGGAGGACCATGGCGGAGAACAGTTGGCCACCGAGCCACGCACCACCGCCTGGCAGTTGTGTTAGCAAGAAAACAATGTGCGACGATAATAATCTAATTTTGGTTCTTGATTACAACAACGGTAAACGTACCAGGGGAAACGGAAGCCTCAATGACGGCAATTTTCAAATCCGGGCGTGCCTTGCCCAGGACATAGGCAGTGCTGAGACCGCAGGATCCAGCACCGACAATCACGATGTCACTCTCAGCATAGGTGTCCAGATCCTTGAAGTAGCGGCGCGTCATAGCGCGGGAGACTTGGCTCTCGCGAATATGGCCGAAGCTAAAGTCATCCCATTTTCCAGCAAATTCATCCAAAATGGTGCCGGTATTCGTAAGGCTCCCATTGGTGGTGGTGGTGGGCTTGTTGGTTTTGGTAGCAAGAACAGCTGGAGGAACTACCACGTCGTATGTTGCAGATGGAGGAGACATTTTTCAAGAGATACTATATGCACCATGTTAGGAGTACAGTTCGGGGTTATGGGGGTAAGGGGAGAAAGAAGGCATGATCCTTTCGCTGGTATTATCCAGATCAAGTTATGACCGTATGATTTCAGAACGAAGCCTCAGAGCCTTCCCGTAGCATAACAACATCTCTCTTTTCGCCCTTTAGTGGGTTGGGGTCGAAGAAGAGGTGGATGCGGCTATTCGCGGGAGGGGTGAGGGAACGAACACCGGTTCATGCACAAATGAGTTACTCCATTGAGATACCTTGATCATGGTTGGACATTGTCCCCAGCTGAGGAAAATTCATGGCTTCCATCTTGTGTGAGAGATGTACCAGATGAACTTGGTCTGCTGGGGTTTTGATAACTAGCACACATTAGCAAGGCCGGCCAATGGCGGGGTAAATTTCAGAAGGGTGGAAGAGGGATCTGACCAAGTCAATGCTATAAGTACAGTTCAGCTTCGGATCAATTGGGTGGATTAGGTTACGAATTCGGTTGTCGAATAATACCAATACTGGGGATGAGAGGTGTTGAGTAGAGATGGAGGAGAATGCCGGATTTGTTGGGGAAGTGGGAGGTTTATATACCTGCGCCGCGGAAAGGAGGGGTTGTGCTGAGTCAGCCCGGTGAGGATTGCTGCAAACTTGTGACTCTGGTGACTGGCCAGAACAAACACACGCAAATAATACCAAGTGGGGGTTATCACTCATTCAAGTCAATAGTATTGGCAAGAAGAGCTCAAAGGCATCTTTTACCGTGAACTCTACTTGGCGCCTTTTCGGGCCGGGAGAGGTAGGTTGTCCCGAAGTCGGCATCACCACTGCTACTCGTTGCGATATACGAAGGGGATTAGGGATTATGGGCTTGGACATTAATTAGTACAGCTCCCGAGCATTGAATCACTCTCCGCTCCAGGGCCGGAAGTTCGTTCGGTGTGTGAAATCCGGGCATCACAAGGACCGACTCGACTGGAAGGAATTTGAACCTCCTGAGGCTCTCCAGTTTCAATTCGCCTCTATACCTGAGATAGGGAAAAGATCAAGTTTTATATAACCAGGTCTACTACTGCTACCCTCCCTTGGTTTAGTGGCTACAGCGGATACTGTGGGAAGATTCCGTGAAATCTCTGGGCTGCAAGAGGCAACATATTGCTTATTTTTCACTCGGTAGCGAGCGGTGCGTGGTTTATCCGGGGTATTGTATTCCAACATAGTAAGTTACATAAGGTATAAATCATTGAGCGAACATAAGGTACCGACTGCTATTATGCATGCAAGCGATATTTCAAAAGCCATAAATACACTGATCATACCTCAAACGTAAGAACTTATCGAGTTGATCTCATTGCGGGAAGTTTCGTCGGCTGGGAATCAGGATCCTCCCTCCCCTCTGCCCTTGAGCAATGGTGCGAAAAATAAAATCAGGGTACATCTATGCAGCACTCATAGAGTAAATCCCGCCCCTATCCTTTGCAAATTGCATCGAGGGACCGCTCACTGGGGGAATATCTTGGATCGCTGAATCATCTCAGCACTCTCCTTTCGCACCAATGCGCCCTCGTGAGAATCATTCCGCAGCTTCCGGGCCTAGAGCTTAACATCCCCAAGGAAGCTGCTGACGGCCTCACCATCTCCAACATGAAGTGTGACCATGTCAGTCTGCTTGTGAGACTACTCCTTTGCCCCATCGTGGCAGAAGGTGATCATGGAAGATGGGTTGTGAGATTGCACCATCCTCAGGGAGGAGATGGAGGACGCGGATTTGGGCATCGAACCTGGCCAACAACGAGGAGCACAGAAGAAATGCTAGGGTAATATATCCACTTTATGAGACCTAGCAATGATTGTGTGGGTTGGACACTGTCGGGTTGCGATTTCCAGGTCTTAACTCCTTCGGCTGTGCTCCTAGAGTTGGATTTGGCGGGGAGGGGCTTATTGTCTGTCTCCTCCTCCATCTTGAGTTTCTCCTATAGGAGGAACTTTACCATTCAGATGGTACTTGTTGTATCCATAAAGCATTCCGCATCAGAAAAAGTTTCAATTGAGGATCTATCAATATTATAATCGTGGATTGCTATAATGCTGGTTGTACGAATAACTCCTCCTACCCCTCGATGATGTCATTGTGAAGGATGGCGTCGAGCCTGTGATTGGTTGAATTGCAGTCGACTAGTTAAAGTCTTCGAAAATTCTCCTAGGTCTTGGCATATGAAAACAACAACATTGATGACAAAACACCATTATTACTACGCTAGACAGTATGAACGACGCAGTTTGTATACAGATCTGGCATGATGCTCTGGTTATGATTATTTATTATCTACGTGCATTGCTGAATGAAGATATCCTGATTTCCTATTTTAGCAATATATTCTAAATATATACGTTGATGGCTGCCTTACCCCTACCCGAACCCAAGAGAGCCAATATCCCCCTGAATATTCTATACGGAGCATTCCTTGAAGATAACCCACGCCATGTATAGCAGATCTGCTACATGTTGGTACCTACCCTCCAGTGAATTTCCCTAGAGAGTGTCATTTGAATTCACAACTATGATATTTCTTTCCTTCCATCACCCGTCTCCAACATGGACTGGCTCTATAAATATCAGTGTCCAGTGCAGCGTGTGTGTCTTTTTCCGCCGTTCTCTTCCTTTCGCAACTTCTTCGCAACCACAGGTTCATTTTTTGAATAGTTTCAAGCTTTTCTTGGATACCCTTATTCCTTTGCTACAGTTTACCAAGGTTCCCTTGTTTAGTAGTTACTCGCCGAATTATACTATATCATCATCTATTGGAGCATCTTGATACCACATCTATAATAAGGCTTTACGATGGCTGAGAAACAACCTACTACCGCTCCGGCTATCCCGGTTCCCTCTGCAGGCCAAGTTCCCTCCACGCCAGGAACAAATGAAGCTGTTACTAGATCTTTAACTGACAACTCCCTACCCAGAGAAGCAACCAGCATCCAAGGCGTGGCAGACGATGTCCTAGCAGAATACAACGCTGCCCTTGCTGCAGATCCCTCTCTGCGATCGGCTACACCAAATCAAGAGTGGGAAGACTATGAAACGATTCTTGCCCAGAACCCTGAGCTCATGGCCCCTATCGTGGCTAACAAGACAAATATATTCTACACGTCCAAAAATAAATGGGAATGCGGCCACGAAGGCCCCGAGATGCCAACAGACATCGAGAAGGAAACTGACGACGACGACGACGATGGAAGGGAGTCTACCACTCTTATTAACGAATGTCGAGGCCTGTGCCCCGACTGTCTAGACCCTGACACAAACCCAGCTCTGCACAAAGAAACCATCGTCGACGGAAAAGTGTTCTACATGTCTAAGGATAAATGGGAATGTGGCCATGAGGGCGAGGAGATTCGAACGGATATCGAGCAAGATTCCCTTGACATCCAAGCTGACAAGCCTTCTGTCCTTATCAATGAAGTAAAGGGCATTTGCCCTACATGCATGGACAAGTGGCATAAGTTGGAAAGCGGGGATGGGGAGGACGGCGGAGACGAGCGTGGTGGTCCTTCTGCTGGCCCGGCTGGTACAGCTAGTAGCAACCCCCCAACGTACGACGAGGCCCTAGAAGCCAATGGCCAGTATGACCAAGATGATGAGGAGGATCGCTTGATTTTCCAAGTTGGATTGTTGGATCTAGATGATGGTCCAACCAAAGGTAAAAATGCTGAGCGCGGCGGTGCTGCGGCTGAATCCCCTGGAGTAGAGGACGCTACGCCCAGTGGATCGGGCTCCCGAATGAAAGCAACTGAAGACGCTGGTTATGAAACCAGAGCGTCCACGGTCTATGACGACGATGATAACCCTGACGACGGATACTACAACAATAACCCTGTCGATCAGAGGGGCTATGATGGTAATAAGGACGCCAATTATCACTCTTCCGGAGGCGAAGAAGAGATCAGTGGCCGTAAACCCCACGTTGAAATTGAAATCGACTCTAATGCCCAAGTGGCCATTGAAGTGGAAGTCAATCCCGGTATTGACAGTGTCAAAAATGCTGGGCCGGAGCAGAAGAAGCCTGGCCAATGAATGGTCTATCTACCAGTGAATAATTCTGTTGACTTTTGTTGGCATATGAAGAGCCATAAATCTTTGTTTTTTTTCATGCACTTTGATATTTTGTTTTCTTTTCGGGGAATTTAGGCTTGCGTCCTGGTACTTTTTTACCTGCGCTGGGTAAAATAAGTATCCGCCTGCTCGTTTCTTGTTTCATTGTTTCATTTCATTGTTTGTTTATTTGGTTTGTTCTCTTTTTCACTTTTTGGCCTTTGGCTTGAACTTGAGACGCCTCGTTCGTAGTTTGCAAGTTCTTACGTTTTACTTGGTTAAATACACTCGGTTTTACTCGACTTGTTGAATTTCCCCCCAATCTCCGTGCGGTCATTTTATGCGCTGGGAAAGATTCCCCTCCCACCCGTCCTGCGCAACCAAATCAACCCATGTGAATTTACGCCATTACTCTATGGAAGTAGTTTATTTGCCTCCAGTGCTGGAGATCTCGCACCTGCTGACATGCGACACGCTGTTTTCCAGATTTGGGGTATGACATTTTTCATTATCATACGTTAGGGGAATAGTTTGACATCCGGGTTTTGTTATCATCGGCATATTACAATAGTTAACTACTTGCTGGCCATATTATTGATAAGCGTTCACAAATATAACCACAAGTTTGTTCACCCCTCAGGTTCCTTTTTACAAAGAATCGCCCTCCTCGGAGCGCAATCCTAACCGAAACCAACTTGCTTTCAGAGCCTTGGTAAATCAAACTATAAAACATATAGAATAGGTCGAAAAATGATCCTTACCCGTAAAAAGAAAAGAATAAATAAATACAACGTACCTACCCTACCATGCATTATAACCAAAATAATCGTGTCACAACCCCTCCACAACCTTAACCCCAACCTTGATCCCAAAGCGCCCGTGCCCCTTTTCCTTCGGAAGCCAATGCTTCCTCTTCCCAATCTTCTCAATACGCTTAACTCCAACCGCCAAGAATTTCTCATCCGTAAACGCACCCTCAATATCACCATTATCCTCCCCGTCCCCACGATCCCTGCAGGGAATCTTAATCGTCAACTCAATCCCAGCAAGCTTTTTCTTCTTCCCAAGCCCAGTGTCCACGCAGCGCACTTGGAAATCAGCCCGTGGACCCTGGTGCGGAACTAGGCCGGCGGGATAGATACTGCTGACAAACGCCGTCACGCGCCCGATATACCGGCACCACCATGCCTCTTCAACCGAGAGGATGCGGCGGAGTCGGTAGAGGAATGTTTCGTGCGGAGAGGGAAGGTCGCCGGCGCAGCTGTCGTATAAGACAAGAGCGAGGGCGGCGCGACGCTCGTGCGAGAGGCCATGCGTATAACAGAGGAGGCCGGTTGCGGTGGAGTTGAGGGCCGCGGAGGCGCGAGTTTCTTTGGTCGCGGACCCGTGGGTATGCATGATATTTGCGACGGCGGAAATGAAGTCGAAGTTGAAGAGGGGGGGAGGGGTGAATTCCTTATGTGTCAAGTTCGTCGAGAGCTGCGGCAGAGCGCGGAAGATAAGTTCGCCGATTTGAGAAGCGGATTCTTTTCTGTATGGCAACGTTGCTGTGACGAGGGGGTCCTGGAGACGGATTTCCATGGGTAGTTTGTCAAATAGGAAGCCCTCGCGCACGCCTCCTTGGCAGAAACGGACGTCTTTGATTTTTGGGAGGGCGTGGGAGAGTGCATGGATGAGGAATGCGACTGCGGGGGCTTGGGCTCTTCGTCTGTCGGAGACATGGGATATGTCGACTACCTCTGACGCAGCCGCCAGCTTCTCTAATGGCTTTGTATTTCTGAAGGACGGGAAGGGCACCTTAAAGCCATTGATGATTTGGATTGGGTAAGGGTCAATATCTGACTGGTTCATGAGTAGGTAGCCCCAGCCCCTGAACCCGCCTCCGCTGAGATAGAGGTCAAAGCCACCGTTTTTCCTTGCGTCATCGACTATTTCTTTTGGAATGTCGAGGTCCTTGTACGCCTGTCTGAAATTGGTTGTTATTTCCCCCGACAGTTTTTCCAATGCATCATCTCCAATTTGCTTGGCCTCTTCTAACTTCTTCGTCAATGCTGCCGCACCATATGGGAAACTGAAGCCCCGCTTCGCTTCCGCTCTCGGCGACATCCAAGTGATCTGAACACTGCCCCCTCCCAGATCCATTATAAGACCCTCCACCACCCCAAGGCTACTTGCTATACCTAGAGATCCAACCCTACCTTCTTCTTCTCGTGAAAGCATTTGAATCTCCCAGCCCGTAGCTCTTGTCACTCGATCTCTAAACTCCTCAGAATTCGGCGCAGTCCGAGTGGCCTCGGTAGCTATAACATAAATGTTCGATGGCGGGACTCCAAAGTCAATGCATGTTTGCTTGAATCGCAAAAGAGAGGATACAACCTCCTTTTGTACCTTTTTGGAAATTGGATGTCTTTGGCCGCTTCCTTTCTCGTGTTGTGCATCGTATAGTGAAATACCCGCACGATCTTGGAAGAGTGTCGGCATTATCCTGGCGGTTGGCGGGGTAAGATCCGAGATTGAGAAGCGGATGCCATTGCTAAATTTGCGAATTAGCTACTGGATGATGCAACTACAGTAACTTATATAGTATATAGTATATGGTTTAGATATACAATATCTCGGTCCAATCTTGGCGCCAGGGGGGGAATAGAATGGAGTGGCAAACATACCTTCCCATGTCCACAACGCCATGGTAGTATCTGTTCACTCCCTTCGATAGGATCTGCATATCTGGTGTTAATCAATCCCAGCGTAGGACAGGGCCTTGTCCTTGATATCTCCTCTTAGTTTATCTGGCAAGTTGAATTTAGATACCGTGTATGCAGAGCAGAATGAGCTGTTGATAAAAGCTGAGTTTGCAACTTTCAAGGGAATTGTTCAAAGTCGTCAGCGTCACTGCCCCACCACCATATTAATAGCAGGTTTGCAGCACAGCTCCCTCTCGCTTTCCAGGAGCTGCCGGTTTGCAAGCTGACATCCAATTCCCAGACATCCTTTCGACATCTGTAAGGCAAAGTCAACAGTGACTGAAAAATAGGCGACTGTCATGCTCGAGTCTCATTCGTTCGTATTTCCACATCCCGTGCATGGTGAACTTCTCTTACAGCGATCAGCTCCAGCCACTCATACTAGCTTCTGGTCAATCAACCATAGGGAGCACTTTTTACTCTTTACGCTGCGTACTCCAAGACGGATCCCACTCAAAGATTTGATTTCTCATTGGAATATTACTGTGAATTGTCGGTAGAGAAATCGCACTAATTGAGCCTATGTTGAATCATTTATACCAGGTAAATAATGTTTACAACTTCTTTACTTGAAATAGTCATTGGGCATAGAAACTGACATTATCACAAGATGCTGCAATATCTACACATTATTATTGAACAGAGTTCTAATATCACAGATACACGCATAGTATATATATACATATATATTGTATCGTACAACTTTTTGGAGGCTGAAAAGCATAAATGCCAAGACAATTTCACGTGAATCGTAAACTAGCCAGCTTAGACTAGTGTGCTCTTGGCAGGGATCAATTGCTTAAGATCCAAGATCGCAATCAAATATCGCGTTGGTCGCGTCCAGCATCGATCACTCCCTTCCAGTATCCCCAGAGCCGTCGCAAGGGACTTCTCAAATTATCTTGCTATTGTCACATGACGGCTCGCGCTTACTCTACTTTGTGAGGTTTCATTATCAGATCCGCCTGAATGAGCAGGCAAAGTGCAGCCGCGAGGATGGCTGATCCAGCGGGAGGGGTGCCGCAACAGCTGGTAGGATAATCTTGCGACCAGTGGAAATATGGTGCCTCTGAGATACCGTGAAAACTAATTTACTGGTCCCAGTTGCCCCATATGCACCTCGTTTCGAACTATCGGTATCCCGTGATGAACAACCTGTCCCACGATACCGCCGTCGAATACCTCATATCTGCTCCTAAGGTTGTTCGAGAGCTCCAGACCGTGCATTGGATGTTCCTTGATGGCCCGCCTGACGGGACCGTGATGCTCGTCTGGCAGCCCTTGAATCATTTGGGAACGACTTTCGCCAGCGATGGATATGTGTGGGCTGATGCTGAGCTGCTCTACAGCACGGAAATAAGAGGCTACGTAAGGATATGCCAACTTTGATTCTCCTATGCCTCCATTTTTTTTCTAATACCTCATTTTTATTTATATAGAATTTGGAGTTATATCTTCAACGTTGCGGATACCATCCCCCCAACGAACAGATAGCTACACATTGCCGAAAGCGGTACCGCCTTACCCCAACCAAAAACCCCAATGCGAACGTTCTGCCATGCGATCCGTCGTTATGGATAATTCACTATTCCAAAGCGCCCGCCGGAGATCATATACCTTCGAATCAGATTCCAGCCACGCTCCAGATGCAGAACATCCTTGCCCAAAGACGTTTCCTTCAAAGCCAGGGACAACTTGTGCGCAAGGACTTCATGCTTCACGACCGAAACAGCTGGCCTACCATCAACCTCCCCTCACAAGTGGGACAACAAAACTTTGCGCAACAAGGCGCACCTTACACCAACCCCCTTCTAAGCCGGCAGCAATCTGGCCCATTTTACCAACCACAACAAGGACAGAACTTACCAGGCCCTCAAAGTAAGCAGTCAAGATCCAGCCGCACCGCCACCGCCGCAGCAGCTATGGCAAGCGCTGCTGCAGGGGATTATTCGCTGGAAGAAGAGGAGGTCTCCACAGGAGACCTGTTGGATACTATTACTCCAAGGGATATCAGCAAGATGAGATATCGCCATCACCACGAATGGATGGATGAAATTTTTGGCTCCCCTTACAGCGTAAAGCAAATTATGCCAGTGGATCTAGGATTGGGTCGGAAAGGAGAACTTGAATCTTTAACGTCTGGGTTCTTTGATGCTCCTACGGGGCCGTCTCTTACGCAAAAAGAACTCTCCGCTCCTCGCTCGACTGGGAAGATGGAGCCTGGCAAAGCAGAGGACTTTACCCACGCTGCTAATCGCAGGATTTCTGAAATCACTGGAGAGATTGAAAAAATGAAGCAAAAGCACGCGAAGAGACTGGAAAAGATGAAACGAATCACACTCTTGAAGGAAGCCGAACTGGCGCTCCGTGATGCTTACATTGACCCCGAAGACGTGGGTAACGAGTTTTGGAGAGTTGAGGGCCACTTGGATATCTCCGCGAGAGAAGAGTCCCCTCAGATTGAGTATTCCGATAATCGCCCAAAGACGAGGGTTGATGATATCATCAGTAACCTCGAGAAAACCTTGGGGAAATCGATCGTGCCCGTTACGGAAGTTTCCTGTATTGAGGAAGGGGGTCTTCAGAAAAGAGTCGCACCACCCCAAATCCCTAGTAGCGCCGCTGTGAGAGACGTTGACATGGGCGACGCCGGCATCAGCTTACCTGGGGAAGCAGCTGATTCCGCGCAGCAGCAACCATCAGGCGGTACCTCAGCAGGTCCGGTGCCCGCCCCTGTAACTGCTCCAACCGCTCGGCAGACTAAGGATGAAAAAGCTTCCACTCTTCCACCAGCTACTCAAACTGTGTCTGCATCAGGGCCATCATTTCCATCCGAGCCTTCCAAACCAGGTCCTAGTGTTGATGTCGAGATGGGTGGGATTGAGGTTGCAAAAGCTCATCCCACTACCACCACCGCAGGAGGCCAAGTAACGGGCGAATCAATGGTCAACAAGGAAGAGAATGCGGCGCCGCAGGATACTAGTGTTAATGTCGCTGCCGCTATAGAAGAACCGTCTACCACTACAGAATCAACGAGCGCAGGAGCAGCAGCAACAGCAGCACCGATACTAGCACAACCGCCAGCAACTACAACTACAACACCAGCAGCAGTAAGTGGAGCCGACACACCAATCAGTGGAATCCAAGGATTAACCCCGGCGGCAAATACCGACCTAGGCGAAGCCAGCGCGCTAGAAACAAGTAATTTTGACGATGCGACTGGATTCGGCAATATGGATTCTGCCGGCGATGCGCTGGCGGCGTACAGTGAGCAAAACGATGAGCTAGGGATGGGGGACCTTGATAATTCCGCATTTGGGGAGGCTTTCCATGCGTCGGAGGCGGAGCGTGAGCAGCCGCGGGACAATGAAAATGAGACCGGAGAGATTTCATGATTTCATTTCATAGAATTTCTTTTTTGCCGGGATGGGGATTTTCTCATTGTTGGTTGGGATCTCTGCGCTTTTATGTATGAATATGAAAATGAAATGGGTGTGGAGTATTTTCGTTCCGTTTTATTCATTTGCTTCGCTCTCTCGATTCTTCTTGTTTAATTTGTTTTGATATATACCTTTTTATGTTTTGTTGCAAAAATAAATGTCCAGGGTGAAGGTATGGTATGGGGGTGTTTAAGGTCTAATCTTTTTTCATCTTCCTCGCTTTATAATTATTTCATTTCTACTTACTATTTATTATCTTTGTGGCATTATTTTCACGCATTTTGCGATGTTCTCTTCAACCTCAATACAATACATCTTTATATTACCATTTTTGTCTACTTTGAGCGCTCTCCCCACCCGGTAAATCCATAAATGAAAGCCCATCGCAACCGCAAGAAGGCGGTAAATTTAAACGCGATCCGTATCAACAATCCTCTGGTTACAAAAGTTCCAATCATACTTAAGCCCTGCTGATATTGGTAATTTAATATTGGTAGAATCTTTATATAACTGTGGCTCATAAGATCATTCTCCTCAAAACTGTCACGTAACAATACCTATGCACCCGCGTCATGTGACCACTCTGTCCTCGTCCGCATGCACCTATCACAACCAACTCCCTCTCAGCTGTCACTGCAGCGCAGCCACACCCTCCTTGATGTCATCGCAGAGCCCAAGACGGGTGTGTGTGATGGGACCTGCATGACTAACATGATGGTGGGCGGAAGGGGGAGATGACATACTCGCGGTTCAGCGAATACTAGGTAAGAGATGTGTGTGGCTACGGAAAGTGGAAACACGAACAACTTTTTCCCTTACCGGGCCGGCTTCACTCCCTCTTGCAGCATCCGATCGATCGCTGATGATATCCCGATATTTCAGGGCGTAGCGAAGAGATGCGACACACTGCTCATGGCATGTGCTGCTTCACTTTTTGCAGAGCAGAGCCCTGCGTCTACTCTCCCATCTCCGGGCAACGTGATACCGGTCCCCTCCACTCTTCTATAAAAAGGGTATCTATCATACTCAGAAAAACGAGCAGGTGTTCTCCTGGTGGGGGCCTTCGAAGTGTGAAATTGGATGAATGGACTGGGCACGCGGCTTGCCCTCTTCATATATAATGGCATAGCACATGGACAAATTTGTGCTATGCCGTCCCTCTTTTTTCTTGCGTCCTGTTTCTTTTCCTGTCATTACCTCTCTATCTTTTCTCTCTTTTCAACTGACAGCCCATTTGGACTATCTTAACTACTGCTTTGTTAAGACGAAATCTTCAAGAACACACACACATAACACACACTGTGCCCAGTTTCGTGGTTGTCTTGCGAACTTGGCGGTTCTTGTTTCTTGGTTTATATTCTAGCCCACAATCTGCTGCGAATCGGTGCGCCGAGTGAAACACATCTTCATTGTTTTTACTTGATAGATGGCCTACAATATCATGACGCTTTGACGGTGTTAGTTTGATTCAAGAGCTAGGTGAGGCTTATTGGGTTCTATTTATTACCTTACTTCACGATATCCTATGGCCTCTTTGGGCGTTTCTACATAGCTTACAGTGCTTGTTCCTATACCCCCATCTGAGACCCCTATATATGCGCTAGAATATTATCCTCTACTTTTCTGTGCTCAAACTGACCCTTTTTATCAAGGTTCAAAACTACAACCGCGAACAGCGACCTGACACAAAGCTCCAGAAGCGTTGACCTGACGAACGAATCCATACTTCACTTACCACCGCTACAGCTAATCCTAAGAACAGAAGAGAGCCTTGTCTCTCTCAGATATAGCTACAATGTGTTGCTGCCGCTCCTGCTCTAGTTCTGGTTCAAGCTCCAGCTCTAGCTCCGGATCCAGCTCCAGCTCCAGCTCCAGCTCCAGCTCCAGCTCGAACTCCAACTCCAACTCCCGCTCTCCATCTTGCACCTGCCCCAGGCCCAATCCGTGTCCAAGGCACTCTCATACCTCCTGCCCTAGGTCCTGCAACTGTTATTACTACGTAAACCCTTCCCGGAGCATTCGCACCTACCCCATTTCCTCCCTCTTCTGCCGGCGCCGCACGCCGATAATATGTAGCCGGCCGTACACCGAATGCACTATATATCCAATTTCTCCACGACCGATCACCATCTATCCCGGATGTCCGCCGCGGAGCAGGCTTTCGTACTACTCCAGCTACAGGTGTAGGTGCAGACCTTCATCTCTATTGAGTTGCAGGTGTGGGTATTGATCGAGAGGAATCTGGGGGTATGCTGGGGTTGTGTGTTAATATTGAGAGAAGACCCGGCCCTTGCGAGGAGAAGGGGAACAAAGGAGAATGCAGGGCCTGGGGCAGTGTTGTGGGTTAAGCTCAATACCCAGACGGGTGTAGGTTGGCCCTGGAGAGATTCAGAGTGCTGGGATGGCAAATCTGGTGTGCCATCGCCCAATGCCCACCGCAGCTTTGGGAAGCGAGGCCTTTTACCATTAAACACCCACTGCGCATAGCCCAGCTTCCTTCCACTGATGAATAAATTGAATGAGCGTGGAAGGGAGGGGTTACATGATTTTCGACGGACGTGGCTACGGGATAATACACACTGCTTCCGGTGATCCGTATTCAACATACCGACACAGCCCAGTTTGGAAGTCCAAGTAGGAATAGGCATGCAAATTGCCCTTAGGATTGCCTACTTCCCTCGCGAGAAGAGTGTGCGAAAGCATCGGCCGATTCTAGCATTGTGGGTTTATACACATACAACCACCAGTGGGTGATGTTTGTGGTTGTTTTAAGGGGTATTTTGGGGGGACATGGAGCGATTCTGTTCGTATGATTGCTGTTTTCTTGGACATTGTTTGGGTTGATGAAGAGTGGAAGTCAAATTGAATTGAAGCTTAATCTTGTGTTTGCATTCTCGAGTGATGATATGTATCGTAACTTAATTTGATTTTAGTAACCCATTAACTCCTTTCCCTAGTTCAATTTTCTTCAAAGATAACATCATATTGTATGGTCCCGTGTGAGTGTGAGTAAGGTCTCTTCCTGTAAATCGCGGCACCAAAACATCAGCAATTAACTTCAGAGCGGAACTAGGCGGTTAGAAAACAACCACATTCCCTTCCTCTCATTGATCAATCTGCAATAGATCCGTACAACCTACAGAGCATATAACGAATTAACGCAATGAACTCCATGGTTAAGTAATCCGGATTCACCTTAGAGCGTCATGGTACCCCAGATGGGCAACCCATCGGCCATATGACACAATCCGTCACCACTAGAACGCAGTCCCATAATGCATACCAATTTCTTTTGCCCTCTGAAAGATGTCCAGAACATCATCAGGTCTTTGTGACGTCAGCAACCAAGGCAAATTGACCTGTGCCACCGTTCAACCAGAAGGAAACACCGAGGTGATGGGGATGGCAAAAAGGCAGCCATGAAGAAGGAGAAACCTGTTGTTTTGCTCCATTGACAAGTTATTTCTCAATCTCACTGGTGGTTTCCTATGACTTTTGTGGTTAATCCTCTAATCCAAAAAGCATCCGTCGCCTCAATTGCGTTTCGTCTCCAGTACAATCGATACAACATCAACAGAGGAGAAAAGGGCAGATCTGGGGCGAAGAACACCAAATACGTTACTCCCACCTCGCTCATACCCGGTATTCGATACAATTGAAGACACAAGCCTGCCTATAATAAAGTAATATATCTTAATTGAAATGTGAGAGACCGAATCTATCTTCCCATCCTTTCTACGTTGATCTACTACCCCCCTATACAAGGAGTCCGTTAAAGAAAAATCCATAGATTTCTAACGAAACGGAAAACAAATTATATATACAGGTACCGCTCACGCTCCATTCGCAGCAGAGGCAGTCAAGTCATGGATCGCCCTGTCAAGCACCGCTTCAGCATGGCCACCTTGCGTGGCACGCAGCAACCCGAGCTATGTCGCAGGCTCTACAAGCTCATCAAGGCCGAAAACCATGCCATCGGCTCGTACGAGAATGCAGGACGGGACCGTGTCTCCATTGCGTCGCAGCTATCAGACTGGGGTGAATCCACAGGCGATAATGCTGTTTCCGACATTGCCGATAAGCTGGGCGTACTACTCGCGGAAATGGGCGAGCAGGAAGACCTGTATGCGCAGTACCTGGAGGATTACCGTAACGTGCTGAAGCAGATTCGCAATACGGAGGCTTCCGTGCACCCCGCCAGGGAATATAAGGCGCGTGTTGTCGATGATATCCAGAAGCAGAAGTTGAAGGATCCGAATAGCCCCAAGTTGGTGAACTTGGAACAGGAGCTGGTCAGGGCGGAGGCACAGACTCTGGTAGCTGAGGCACAGTTGACGAATATTGTAAGTTTTGACAATTGATTTACTTGATCAACATTCCCTCCCCCTCTAACCACCCATTATCCCCCTCTCTTTTCTTACTGAGAGTCGTTCATTTTAACTGGCAGCAGCTAATCAATTCTTCCCACACTGCAGACCCGCCAAAAGCTCAAGGAAGCATTCGACATTCACCTGGCCGCCACCATCGAAAGGGCAGAGAAGCAAATCATCCTCGCCCGCCATGGTCGTCGACTTCTCAATCTTCTGGACGACACCCCGCTCGTTCCCGGAGATACCCGGGGTGCTTATGAGCAAATGGATCAAGCTCGCCAGGTCCTCAATGATGCCGAACAGGACCTACGAGGTTGGGAGCCCAGCCTGGAGCCAATCCAATCCTCCGCAGCACGCATGGGAACGAATTTGATGCCTGTTAGCCATGTCAATGGTGAAGAGGAAGAGTCTTATCAGAAGGAGTCGGCTCCTGCGTCTTCGATGCCGCAGCCTGTCGCTGCTTAATGGAAGATGTTGGGAAAGGAATGGGCGCTTAATGGCTCTTGGATTTATTGTTTCTTTTGTTTAATCTGCATTATGCATTCTTATGTGTAGGTAAGTATATCCGTGTGTATGCCGCTGAAATTATGATTTGGGTATTCATCGTATCAGTTCAAACCAAAAATTGAAAGAAGGGAGGAGGGAGGGTTTTGGCGATGAAAATAACACCAGAAAAACAAAACCAACAATAGTTCCTGTGACTGGTGGTATTTTGTTGTGTCTTTTCACTGGAGTTTTGGAGTGGGATTGCATATGCTATATTTTATTAATTAAACTCTCCCCAACTAATATGTAGTTTTAATAGTCTGTAGTCCAGTGATAGTTGAAATGTTATTCTTCACAGGATCGTTCTGCTGAAGTGTTCTTCTGCTCATTTCCATACCCAGTGGCTGCTACACAGATCATGATCATACATGGCACAAGCCAGGAAAGAAAAAAAAAAAGAAAAAAGGATAATGGGGGCAGCGCGGTTCGAACGCGCGCGAACTCACGTTCACTGCAGTGTTTCCGGAAAAACTTAAATGCAGCGCCTTAGACCACTCGGCCATACCCCCGAGTTTTAACTTCCCCGTGTGACCCTCTACGGCTCTGTCAATGTATATGGCTGGAGAGAGATAAGTCATGTGACACAGGCAGCTGCCCAGTGACGCGCTTCCAAGCAAACTTCATACTTCATCCCCAAAAGCTCAACGAAGCTCCAACCCTCAAGATACCTGTATACTACGATCTCGTCCCTTTTTCTTCGTTTTTCTCCTCATTTCATTATTTTCTGTGTCCTGTGTCTCTTCTCCTCCTGCTTAGAACCCCTTTGCTTTCTCCTCATCATGGATACCCTCGTCGCCCAATACGCCCGGCCTCAGGTCAAGAATGAAGGCTACTCCCGGACCGAAGAGCAAGAGTTCACAGAGGCATTGCCGCCTCTATCTCTAAAATTCGCTCTTCCTCCAGTTGATAAAGTGAGTCTTTGTGGGCCAGTGTTGCGAGCTAATTGAATGTTATCTTAGACTGCCCCTATTTTGCGCCTTTTATATCCTCTTTCTAACTGTTCGCATTATCTCTCCATCTAGCCTGCCTCCTTCCTTCGAGCCGTAACCGACGACCATGCCAACCCAGACTGCCCCATTAAAATCGCTCATGGCACCACGACTCTTGCGTTCAGATTTAAAGGAGGGATCATCGTGGCGACAGATTCCAGAGCTACCGCTGGTAACTGGATAGCTAGTCAGACTGTGAAGAAGGTTATAGAGATCAACAGTTGTCTGTTAGGGACTATGGCTGGTGGCGCTGCTGTATGTACTATCATTATTCTTACTTACATCCTAGTTGCTCTAGGGACCCCGTATTTCCTATTATTGCCCTTGTTGCTTGGGATTCTGCTCAGCTTAGCAATCTGGCCAACTTCTGTTCTGGGCTGCTCAACTAGAGAGAAACATTGACAACTAACTACTCCCACCCTGTGCCGTAGGACTGTCAATACTGGCTCGCCTATCTAGGCATGCAATGCCGTCTCCACGAACTCCGCCACAAACGCCGCATATCCGTCGCCGCCGCCTCCAAGATCCTCGCCAACCTCGTCTACAACTACAAGGGCATGGGCCTAAGCATGGGCACCATGTGCGCCGGCGTAACCCCGCAAGAGGGGCCTGCGCTCTACTACATCGACTCAGACGGAACACGACTGGCAGGAAATCTCTTCTGCGTCGGCTCTGGCCAAACGTTTGCATATGGCGTGCTCGATGCCGAGTACCGATTTGACCTGACGGATGAAGAGGCGCTGGAGCTGGGCAGGCGGAGTATTCTCGCCGCGACGCATAGAGATGCTTACTCCGGTGGCTATATCAATCTGTACCATGTGAAGGAAGCCGGGTGGGAGAAGCATGGTTTCAATGATACCAATCCTATATTCTGGAAGACGAAGTTGGAGAAGAATGAGTTCTCGAATGTTACGGGAACGTTGGAGTAAAATGGGGGGAGGGCGTGTGTTTGTTTTTCTTCGGTTTTCCTTTAATGATATTGAGCGGCTGCTCTTCTGTTGCTTCTACCACTTTGTGATAAATTTAGCTTGCAAGAAAATTTAAATACGGTAGAATTTGGCAATCGGCCCTCTTCCATTTTTCCACTCCACCTCCTGTTCATTATCACCCTTCCCCCAAGCATCATAGGTCTCTCCCTACCCTTTCTTAAAGAACCTTATCACGCAGTAAGGTTCAGTCTGCGGAGTACCCAGGTCACACCGTCCTTCATCGAATTGCTGAAAGCCCCTGATAACCCCCCCCCCCTCCCCATCCAACTCGAATGCTGGAGAGGGGCTAACCATTCACACAGAACCTATGTCCGTTTTACTATCCCCCGCCGCTTCGGAAACTCTGGGGATGTCCGTTGAGCCCGTTAAAAAATGAACGAGCAGGGAAGGGTAAGTTTAATAGGGGGGCTAACTCCTCTTCACTAAAACACTTTGTATTGGGTCTCCCTCTATCGCTACGGAGTAGATGTTCTGCGGATTAATATTACTTGATCAGCTGGTTACATAGACGGGTCGTTCAGATGATTGGGAGCAAGGACATGGAAAGGACCACTGTATAAGAAAGAAACTATAGCTAGATACATGCAAGATCGTACGCAGAGAGATATTTTTCGCCAGATATGAAGAGAAAGCGACGGTGATGAAAAGGATTCCAGAAATAACACAAGATGCAATAACATATCTAGCTTCTTACGCCAATTACAATATCTCCTCCATATTTTTGTTTTTGTTTTTTCTTTCCGTTATTCCAAGGGGCGATCCAAACCCAGTCCTTGAACCGCCATCTCACTGTCATGGAACCTCAATTATTAACCTTAAATGTCATCCTGATGCCCATAGCCGCCAGCTCAACATCCAAATACTTCAACACGCCCGGCACGGCAACAACCGTCGTATCATCTCCACCAACAAACCTCTTCCCCTCTCCGTCCTCCCATACTTCAGCTCGGGGGTCATCGAAGATAGCTTCCCTCGCGCACCGACGGCAGCGCACAATCCCCGCAGTGCCACCCAACGCACTCACAGCACCACCAGGCCTCGCCAGACCTGATGACGACGACTTCGCGACAGCAGCCATAGCCGGGTTTTTACTGGGCGCCATGAGCTTGGAGACAGCAACCTGCGTTGACAGGAACGAGCCACACGTCCTGCAGATCCACGAGCGCGTGGTGTCCGAGCAGTTCATCAGCCGGTCTTGCAGGAGGAAAGCGGCGCCGTGGGCAAGGAGTGAATCGCGCTCCATCTCTCCGACACGGATACCACCACCTTTTGCACGGCCCTTGACGGGCTGCCCTGTCAATGCGTTCACGGGACCCGTCGTCCGCACCTGGAATTTGTCGTTCACCATGTGTCTGAGACGTTGATAGTAGACGACGCCTAGGTAGATGTCGGCGGCAAACTCGCGGCCGGTTATGCCGGAGTACATGGGTTCGTTGCCGTGGAAGTTGTAACCGGCTTTGCGTAGTTGTTCGCCGAAGAAGTCGCCTGCGGTGTTCTCTTCGGAGAATCGGAACGGCGTGGCGTCCTGCGCGAGGCCGTGGAGAGCGCCAGCTTTGCCCGCGAGGGACTCGATGAACATACCGATTGTCATTCGGGAGGGGAAAGCGTGCGGATTGATGATGATGTCGGGCTGGATGCCAGTTTCGGAGAAGGGCATGTCGATTGCAGGCCACAGCTGGGAGCAGACACCCTTCTGCCCGTGGCGGGAGGAAAATTTATCTCCAATGAGTGGTTTTCGAGGGATGCGGAATTTGACGCTGAGGGCTTGGCAGGGGTCACCACCTGTTTCGGAGCCAAGGATGCGGACGCTGTCAACGTAGCCCTCTTCGGTGTCCTTGTACTTGAGGAAGTGAGTTTGTCTGTCAATGTTGACGTAGGAGTTCGATACCGGGTCGAAGCGGACTGTATGCCATGCAGCGACGAGGCTGCCTTCGGTCACACGGGCGCCGATGTGAGGGAGACCATCTTCGTCCAGAGCATCGCGCCATTCTCCTTTAACAAGACCGCCCGGTGCGAACCCAAATAGTTTGCTAACCTCCCGTCTCGCCTTACCCCGGCCACGAGATTCCTTGTCATCAAGGGAGTATATTTTTGTTTTGTAGATTGTGCCCCACCCAAATCCTCTGTCATGGGCAGATTTATTGATAATCATAGCGTCGTCCATGTCGTAACCAGTATATGACAACACAGCCACAACAGCATTCATGCCGTTAGGGAAGTTGTCAAGTCCGTAGCTATTATAGAGAGGGCTCCGAACAACAGGGCTTTGCCCGGTTTGTAGCCGGTAGAGTTTGTTGTCGGTACGGTATTCCATAGATGATCCCGGTGTTCCCATCGCCTGCTTACTCATTTGGCATTGGTACATATTACGGGGAGATTGGTTGAAGTCGGAGAATGGAGTCATGTTGGCGACAATCGAGAGGATGTGTGTAGGGTCGAATTCCACATGGGTAGATACGCCGGATGTGATATCGGACGGAAGGCAGGCAATTTCCATGTATGGCTGCTCTAGCGGGCCAACATAGTCAAGTTTGTCCAGCGGGAGGTATTTGACTGGCCGTAGCATCCTCGCACATTGGGAAAATAGATAGATGCCTGGGTATTGCCCCCGATTCGAGTTGGGAACATATCCGATTTCAAGTTCCACGGGAAGACTTCGATGTCCCTCAACCTTCCAATACCGCAGAGTGTCAGAAATCATGCGAGCCTGTTTCGGGGAACAGTAACCAAGAATTCGCCCGTCCAGCTGGACTACCACACTCTCATCCAGAGCCACGGAGGACTCAGAGGTCACTCCTAAATTCGATATCACTTGAGGGACGCCGGAGACATCCAAGTTACTTGTTGCGATTTCACACTTATGGGCGAGATGGTTTAAAAGTCCGCAGGGACTTCCGTCGGGTGTATGGACTGGGCAAAGGAATCCCCAGCTCTCAGGGAGAAGCTTACGAACGGTGGTCGTTTTAAGCTGCGCGAAAAAGCTTCCTCTGTGTATCATTCGGAAATGGCTGATGAACCGGTAGAAGTTAATTTTCTCGGCTATAACAGTATAACCAGATGGTTGTTGTAGGTCAAGACCCGTTGGACTGACGAGGTTACCGGTGGAGAGGAAATACTCCAGCGCACCACCAATATTTTCATTCGTCCTGGTCACAATTCTACTGAGGAATTCCTTCTCAAATCTTGGATCTGAGAATGGTGCATTTTGATTTCTGAAAGCCCAATCACGCGCAACAGGGCCGAAGGATCTCAGCCATTCCTCGAGGCGCTCCTTCAAGAGCATCCCGTAGAGAAAACCGCCAAGAAGTACTTCTTGGTTTGAAATAGCGTCAGGGTTATCCGGAGCGCAATCTCCCGCCACCAGGGTATAGAGCTTCCTGATCATGAAAAGTATCATATTGAACTTATCATTGTCTTGAGACTCAGTCACATTTTGGTTACCGAGATGTGGTAATACGACCTTTCGAAGAAATTCCGTGCCCACGGCCTCATCCGGCATATCTGCAGGCATTCCCAAAACAGGCCGGAATTTCTCTCCAAGGTAAGCTCTCGTGTCGTCCCTCCCATGAAGTCCATATCCTTTGTACGTCCGTAAAAGCAGTTCGACTCGATCAGTAACGAAGGAGTTTTGAATTCCCTTAGATCCTTCACGGCCAACTAACCGCTCGAAAATGTCCCGGTCATTCGTTTCTACCAGTGCTTTCAATATCATCGCTACCGGGACAAGGAACTCATTTTTCCTCCAAGAAAACCGGAATGTCACATTGCCGTCGCTGAGGTAATGTAAAACGTTCGTTTGAGAAGTCTGATCAGGCCTAACGGAACGGATTTGAATACCGTATTTTGTATATGTTGGGCCACGTTTCGTGAAAGAGTTACGGACGATGGCCATGGGAAAATTCCTTCGCCCAACAATCAGCATTCGAATGAGCTTCTCGTTTCCATTGACAATGAAATAGCCGCCAAGTTCTTCAGATTCCTCCTTTCGTTGGACAAGCTGTTCCGGGGAAGCCTTTTCGAGGTGGCACCGGTTGGACTATAGAACAGTTTTCATTGTAAATTGAATGTTTCGATCAATTAATAAAGAAGGGAGGATTACAAACGGAAGAAACGATAGTGCACTTCCAGCATTTTGGGACTGTATCCTTACCCTTAGCATGATCGGAACCTGGCCTAGTTCTCTGACCGACTCTTTCCACTCGCCATTGTTCACCTTATACTCCAGTCGCGCTCTTAATCTGCCACGGTATGTTGCATGTCTCTCCCGACACTCTGAAGGGTAGATTTCTCTGTTCCGTGTACTGAACTTGTTTGATGCCGGAAGCATAGCCTTTTCAAGGAACAGCTCCGTAATGCGCACGGAGAGCTTGTTTCTTCGGGGTGCCCGTCTCCCTTCCTCCAGCCTAGCCCGCTTCTGCTCCAGTGTTTCCGCATCACCGTCCAGGAATGACTTGGTGCCAATATCCTTTATTGCAGCCTCTAAGACTTTGTGGTCGTCAAATAGGGCATTGAAGGAATCGATATGGGGTCGGATGGTTGCTGAGAGGGACGGATATGCGGTCTGATCCTTGGGGGGGTTTCGGAATAACCGCTCACGGCGGAGAGTGTCGTACTCGACTGACCATTCTGTAGCTGTAGAGGGCGCCATGGCGGGGTAAAACAGAAGGGATTAAACCCAAGCCAAAATGCAATTGAAGTAGAAGGGAATATCCGAAGCGTAGAGAAGTCACAGGGAGTGCGAGCTCAAGTGCGAGCTCAAATGCGCCCTGGGGTTGAAACGCTAAACTTTTTTTACGGCTAGAGTGCAGCCGCCATGACGAGTGGAACAGCTCGAAATTAATATTTGAAATATAAAACGGGAGGCCAACTGCCTGAGTGTCTCACACTTCGTTTTCCTTTTTATTATTTTTTGCTCTGATGAACTGCTCCCCCAAGCTCGTGGTCTATTTTTCTTCCCCTTTCGAGGTTCTGCCGGAGTGAAATTTTTCGAGCGAAGCTAACGAACGCGGACAGCTATCATCACGTGGAGATAGTGAGAAGGTTACCAACCTCCAGCCGCCAGCATCCAGCCAGCATCCAGCCAGCAGCAAACGGAATCAACGACCACAAATATGATTGCCGTCAACCTCGCCAACCATCAAACCAGCCAATAGCCTCCGCTCTTCTCTACGATCAACAGCAGCGGCAGGGATTGAGGGAAATACACAGAGAAAAAGAAAGAAGTAAAAATACATTCTGTCCCAGCTTACCAGCTTAGCGCCGGCTGGGCTCTAGTTTCTCCACCACCCTCGCTGCTTCCAACACCAATCCGTCATTCCGCGTGGGTGGGCTTTGCGCCGGCGGATGCGCACTGCACACTGCAATAATCTGCATAAGCCAAACTACGCAAGGAACGGTAACAGGGGACCAGGGACTCTTAGTTAGGGTCGAAACGCCGCCCGCGAATCCCAGCAGCAACTCCTCACACCCGGCGTCAAAACACCATTTTCGGTCATGTGTACACAGGCGTACTTCGCGCGGAGGTGATGCAGCCATAAAAGTGCGAAACACTTTGTACCCATTAATTGATTGCCTGGAGAGAGGAAAGCTCTCTATTTCTCACTTCCCCTCTCTCTTTTGCTGGTGAGGAGCTTCTTCCGAGAGTCTACGCATTGCTGGCAGAACAGAGGATTAGGTTGTTTGCTAACTAGTTTATTTCCTTCCATTCCTCTTTTTTTCTTTTTGAAATATATATATCCATCTCTTTGGTTGATTTATCTGCCTGGTTGCATTTTTTGCCATTTAGCTTTTGTTCAGGTGCCTTGTGTGTGATTGTTTACGTCGGGTTTATTAAATTCTTTCGGGAGGTTTCTGCCTGTCATCTGGGGTTTTGTACTCCATCCCCAGCCTTGGATGCGAAATTATACCTCTCACTTCTGTCCCAAGGATAAAAGGAACGCATTTTCGTCATTATTGTGTGTGCTTTGTCCTGCAGATCCATCTCTTACCCTTCTTAACAGACGCCACACCCCACGACTAAATTTCTTGGTGTACATATTTCTGTACACACCACGATAATATTCACACACACACACACTATCTTTACTCATTTCCTCCGTGGGTTTCTCACACAAACGTCGCAAAATTATCGTGAGCCGGGTTTTCCTACTTCCAAACCTCTCTCGTTGCTTCCTAGATACCGCCTACTACCTCTTGGATATCGGGACATCACTGCTATTCGTCCATAGCAGATCCATGATGGCGGGCTTCTTCAAAAGTATCTATGACTGGTTGCTCAGAAAGTTTTGGTTAGTTTGCGGCTCGAGCATCCGTGTGCGATGGGTTGCATCTGGCGGGTGCATAACATCATCAAGCGCTGCCAGATCCCATGGCCATGACAGCATAGCTAATTAGTCCTCAGGGCAACCGAAATGGATGTGACGATGATCGGGTTGCAAAATGCTGGAAAGTCGTCATTGTTGCGGGTTTTAGCGGTGAGGCAATGTTTTTCTATCAGCAGTGATAGCAAAATCTCATTCTGTTGTTTTATGTTGTGCTATGCCTTGCTATGTTTTGCTGTGCTAACTGAGATGGAACCAGGGAGGGGAATTCACGGTAGAGTATGTTTTAAGGGAGGGTTGAGGATGTCTGTTCGTCGATCTACCATACTTCCCACTAACACCGCCCTCAGCTCTATTCCCACCATCGGATTTAACACCGCGCGGGTACAGAAAGGCCATGTCACACTAAAATGGTCAGCTTAGTCCATATGGATATATCTCCACCATTTCACCCTAGGGCAACCTTCTTCTAACAGAAGTATATAGTTGGGACCTTGGAGGTCAGCCCAGATTCAGGCCGATGTGGGAACGGTATTGCCGCGGCGTCAACGCCCTGTTGTGAGTGTTAATTCGTCTAGTTATCCCCGTTTCCCCAGAAAAGCTGCTCGTCTTTCTCCGGTGAGGCCGATGCTGTCAAAGAAACATCATCAGGAACTTTAGAATTGACCTGTCCCCCCAAACTAAAATAAAAAATAAATAAATAAAATAACAGATACGTCGTCGACGCAGCTGATAAGGAAAAGCTGCCCACAGCCACGGAAGAACTTCACGATCTCGTGAGCAAACGGTCCCTCGACGGCATCCCACTACTGGTCCTAGGCAACAAGTCCGATCTCCCCAACAAGCTCTCCGTCGACGAATTGATTGAAGCCATGGACTTGAAGTCCATCATGCATCGCGAAGTGAGCTGCTATGGGATTAGTGCCAAAGAGGAGACGAATCTCGATGCCGTGCTGCACTGGTTAATCGCCCGATCAAGCAAGTGAAACTCACCATCACCATACCCGCCCGCTCCTCCGCTCCTCCTCTTATCCCATGGTATGCCGATATTTTTTCTATTTCCTGTCCGAATTCAAACTGGCAAACCCCAAACCCCATCAATTTATTTTCCATCTCATCGAATGTCTTCGTTGTTGTTTCTTGCCTTTAGCTCCGAATCTCGCCCTCTCTCTCCTTTTCTTGTTTCCTTTCCTTTTCCTTTTCTTGCCATATATCGTTTTTCCCGGACTCCATGCATCCATTGTATTTTCTTTTTCTTTTGTGTTCCCAGTTCATCCCGGACCGTTTGTAACGATACTGACGCTTTCTCTTCCGTACTTTCTTCCTTCCTCCTTTTCTAGCAATTTCTCATTCCCCCAAAATGCATGAGGTGACGTATTCAATTAATTCTCCCTCCCCCTAAATCCCCCTACTACCGGCCAATGGGGGTTGCCATTCCATTTCGCTCCTTTCATTATATCTTCCATGTTCTCCCCTGTTAATCGCCGTCTATATTTATTTGCCTCTCTCGCCCTCGTCTTCAATGGATATGTTAATGGTAATCTTTGGCATAAGAAGCAAGCGGGTGAGCGGTTTTCTGCTTTTTTTTCTCGTCTTTTCCTCACATTTTCTCCGCTGTTCCTTCTACCTTGTTGTCCTCGTTGCATTTTAGCTTTTCTGCATTTAGGGCTTTTGTTTTTCTTCTTTCCTTTTTGGATGGGTGTTTTTACCGTGGTCGGCACGACGACACATTCGTGTTAGGGAGGATAGGAGAGGAAGGCTGGTGAAAAGATCGAGGAGGCTGCCGTATGCAATGGCATGGGGCTTGACGCTAGATGTCGGATTGTTGGCTGGTTGTCTGCATCCATACTGGTAAATTGAGATCTATCATTCTTATTTAGTTTCATCAAGTTTTTATTTTTATTTTTATTTTTATTTTTATTTTTATTTTTTTTGGTTCCTCATTATCACCTGTCTATCCCAGAGATATATGCCAGGAGACGAACGAAGATGGAGAAGGGGGAATAACCGCTTATCAGTGAACAAGAAAAAAAAAGAAAAAAAAGTGGATTGAAGATCATTTTTAATCTGGCAACGGGGAGCGTCAGCATAATAATCTGCCATTCGGAGGGATTGTCGCTTTGTACGCAGCGTATGGGGAAAGTAAGTAGGGAGGTGATGAAGGGTCAACCAACACCCGTTGGACAGACAACAACAGTGAACAAAAAAGGAAAACCAAAATGGAAAAAAAGAAGAGTCAATTCTAAACAATTTCGATTACATTTATATCTATCTATCTACCTATCTATCTATCTATATATATATATACTGCCCCGTCCAACACGTATGTATGAACAACTCATCAAACAGCCATCTCAGCAGCAGAGCACAGACCAACTGATGCGTTGGCAGTGCATGAAAAATGGCCAACCATCCAATCCATGGATTCGTAAACTATCCAACCCCAGTCAGTTCAAGGATATAAAGGGAAAATGAGTGTCTGAGAGTGTGTGCCCCCCACTTGCCACACAAACTATTAATATTATTACATGTGATGTGACAAGATGGCGATTGGCATACAGAGCACTACTCCACATATAGTTAATTGATCACACCGCCAAAATGAGATATGTGATCTCTGTAGGTGGCTCATGTGGGATGAGACTTCCCTTGACCCCGGGAGCTTTGGTTTTCGATGGGGAGAGGCCAAAATATTGGGATATACTGTACATTTTTTATTTTTTTATTTATTTATTTATCTATTTATATTTATATGTTTTGCCATGTCAAGGATGGATGTCTTAAATAGGAAGCACTGAAATGCGGGTATGTTGTTTCAGGATGCGACTAGGCCTGAACCTCCCCTAGCGTTGCAGATGGAGTTACTATTACCCGTTCCACCTTATTTAGCCTGGATTGGGCTACGTCCGTGTTTCGTTGGCAGCCCTACACTACTCTGCGGATAAATATAGAAATATAGATATAGATACGCGTATGGACTGCTACGGGCGAGAGGGAAGCATGCATGCCTTATCCTATGATATAATGGAATCAACTCTTGGCAAGTTCCGTCAACGCCCGAGGTTTCCGCGGCTCCTATTGGTTCCAAACGGTGTCTTCGGTGCCAAGGAGGACCTCCGTTTCGCACCTTGCCTAATATGGAAGTCATTGACGCGGGCTGGGCGGTCGGAGATATGTCGGCCCGGCCGCGGCTCAGCCACACTGCAATTCGCAGACAAGAACAAGAATGGCTGCTTCCGGCTTCACCTCGATTCTCTATCTAGCTCCTCCTCCCCTCCTCCTCATCAGCAAGCAAGCAGCTATCACCCATTTCCATTAGAAAACACCCTGCCTGCCATCATCAATCTCGCTCACGATCTCTCTTCTCTTCTCTTCTCTCCTCTGATTGATTGATTGCAACCACACCATCTCCAGAAAAGCGCGATAGTGCTTGAGGCTGGCCCCGATCCAATAACCCAGCCACATTCCGTCATCAGCATCTCATAATAAGCAACACTTTTCTACAGCAGTTAATCAATCATCTATATTTATAACCCCTACTCCACGACAAGCCAGTCTCCCTTACTTCATCCTTTCCCTTTAGAAAACAGATCCTTCTCTCATCTCGGAGACTGTCCCGTCGCAAAGATGCATCTTGCTCGTAGATATGAGTGAGTCGGAACTCCTGCCTCAAAACCTCCATCATTTCCAAATGTATCAATTGAATGAAAGTTCTAACACACACACCCCACCAGCTGCTACGAGGAGTTAGGACGTGTCTACTGCAGATCAGCCTGGAGCGACTGGGGTCGCTGGGTTGCCCTAGTCATCGTCGTTCTCGGTGCTTTCCTCGTCTTCCTCGCCTTTGCGTACGTCTCTCGTCTCCCCCTCCAACCTTCCTCGTCCGCATTTATTGGATCCACTCTCCCAAAAGTAAAATAGGAAAAGAAAAGAAAAGAACTGACGACAAACCAACAGTTGCATCTCCTCCCGCCGCCGCCGCCGTCGCGGCCAACAACCCTTCCACGGCACAGGCTGGGCCGCCCAGAACACTTTCTGGCAGCAACAACAACAACAGAATCAACCACCCAACATGCCTCCGCCCCAATACACGCCGAATAGCGGCTACTACGGTCCCAAGCCTACTTACTTTGGCGGCCAGCAGCAACCGCAGCCACCCTACCAATATCCACCACCGCAGGAACAAGGCGTCGAGCTGCAAACGCCGCAGAATGTCCATCGGGCTGGGGAGCCCGTTTATTCGCCGCCGCCTGGGCCGCCTCCTGCGAAGTAAGGCGGTTTTGGGAAGGGAATAAAATTTAAGAAAAATTTTAAATCATTTTTTTTTCCTATTGAGAAAGAGAGGTAGAAGGTATTATGAATTATAATACTCTTAAAAAATTCCCTTTCTCTCTCTATTCTCTCTCTTTTTTTTGCCTTCTGAAGTCATGACTCATCATAGCATCTGAGAGTTAGTTAATTTTTGATTTTTACTTGCATGACATTGTGTTTTCCTAGTTTATTGTTTTTTTTTTTTTTTTTTTCTTTTCTTATTTAAGTAGTTAATGAATGAATGTATTTAGAATTGAAGAGTAAGAATTATAAGTTATAAGTTAAACTCTTGAGTTTTCTTTTAATCTATTAATTTATATATTTAAGAACTGATTAATTTTAATTCACTTTCAACTTCACTTTTTTCTTAATACAAAAATATAATTTGAAAAAATATTTAATTATTAAATAATAATACAGCTGTTTTTAAATATATTTATAAATGTAAAAAGTTTTAACAGCTTTACTTATATAAAAAGTTAATATATATTTATAATTTTATATAAATTTAAATACTTTTAAACTATATTTAATAATATATTTAAAAATCAGTAAAAAATACAAGTTTTTCAGAAATATAATAATTCTATGTATAAAATAATTTATAATTACTGTATTAAAGTGATTATATATATATTTCAAGTTAAAAATATATAGAAAAGTAATAAATAAAAAAATATTTAATTTAATAAAAATGTTTTTAAAGTAATTAATTAATATTATAAAAAGCTAACTATTATATAATTTTTTATAAAAAGTTTATAGTTACTGATATAACAGGCTGCGTCTGATTAATTATATAGAGTATTCTATTACACTTCACAGATTTTAACTGCTTCATTCTTAAATATATACACTCTGATTCTCAGTTACTCTTAATCACTGATTCTCAGTTATATACACTCTGATTCTCAGTCACTCTTAATCACTGATTCTCAGCTGTTATAAATATGTATAGATTCTTTCACTCTGAAGTCTCACTGCATATATCATCACATACATGTATAAATATCTACTTTAATTATCAATTCTTACACTTTCTCTTTCTTTTCCTTCTCTAATGTTTTTCTCTTTGTTATATAAGATCTATTAATATTATATCAATCTATTTAGTGTAGATCTCTTATACTAGAAAAACATTCATTATCTTCTTATTAAAAACAATTATTTATCAAGATATTCAAACATATAACAACACATAAGAAATAGAGAAATAGTTAAATAGTTAAGCAGATACTGAGTTCTCAGATAGAAGCTTACTTATCAGTTACTCTGACTCTGTAACAAGATCTTATAAAGAGAGTAAGATTTTATAAGAGAATATTAGTAAAAGATCTGAGAGTTCTGACATCTCAGATATATAAGAATATTTATATAATTACACTTTCACAGATATTATATATCTGATAAATAATATAATTATATTTAACAACAATATGAAAAAACTCTCAAATATGAGTATAGATATGATGTCACAGTAGCTTCAAGTAATGTTAAAATTATAATAATAATAAATAGCTGATATGCATGCAACTTAACAACATCAATATAAAGAGATTTAACAATTATTATAATAAGAAACTCATACAATTTCAACATCTACAGAATTGAATAGAAAAGTACTGAAGAAACACTTAGATACTCTTATATATTTCAATACTTTCAATCTCACTCTCTACTCATTATGGAGAATGAAAATACTTATGAAACTGAGTGTAGATGAAGATGTTATTAATTCATTAATCAATCAAGATTAATATATCAATGAATAATTGAAGAATTGCATGAAACAGAAGTTTTATTTACAAATGAAAGCATATGAATCAGTATTGTAAATATCTGATAATATTATTAAATATCTTGATATTCTGTTCTGAGACACTATTATATAACAGAAAGTATTAGATTAATTACAGAGTATCTAATAGAGAAACACTTCTCTTATAACATTTATTTGTAAGAAATCCCGCTTCTCGCGGATTCTTTACTTCTATTCCTATCTCTTATGTAATTAATAGAGCTAGCAGCCCTTGGCTACACACAACTATATAGACTGGAGTTCATGAATACTATTTATAACTCAGCTTGAATACTATTATACATTTGACCTGTATATTTTATCTTTCTACTGTAAATACTTCTAGTAGTTAACAGTATATATCATATCAAGCTGCAAACACCTGAATAATCACCTGTGAGCACTTATTCTTACATTTCAAGCTCAGTCAGTCAGCAACTGCTTATTATGACTGAAAGAACTAGAAACTTGCATACTTCAATCTCTGTGAACTCTACTGCAGACACTCAGAAGCAGTCACTTGAATTATAAATAACTCTTATAAAAGAAGTCTCAGAGAACTTATCAATCACTTATAGAATATCATTCTCTATATCTGTAACAGAGAAACTCTTTAAATTCATGAATAAATCAATCTTAGTGAAGAATATTCTTGAGCATCTTTTACAGAATCAAGCTATTTTTCTATAAGAAATACTTACTGCTTACAAACACTCTTGAACTAAGTCTCTAGACATGATCTTCAGAGATACTTATGAACTGAAAAGAAACTTTCTTAAGTTATAATTACTTAAGATTACTTATCAAATCATAATCTATAAAAGCTTTTACAAGTTTGCATTTGAAATTGACTTACAAGTCTGACTATATGACATGAAAGATGAAGAAACTGTTATCTATATAATAACAGATCTCTATTACACTGAAGTCAAGAACTGACTGAATTATCTAGAGAATGATTATAAGAGATTCTGCTAATCTGTTCTCAAGATCTATCTAGAGAATAAGTTAAGAGACTTTATAAGCTGAACAGAGAATATCTGAGCTGTGATTATTAATATTAGAAAAAGAGGTAAGAAATCTGATAAAGACTACTTACAGTACTTCATAGAATTATAATATGAATTGAGATCTGTGAAAACAGAGCTCTGAAATAAGACCTGAATGATAATATTTGTAAAGAGA